TCCTTACCGTGTTAGTAGGTTACAGACAGTGATATGGTTGGCTACTTATTTTACTTTTAATTTCATTTGAATTAGCTTAAGCAGCGTTTATATTTTCTTTATAAAGAAATTAACTTGCAAATTATGAGGGCAAGGCTTTTAAAGTTTAAATCTTCTGGCAAAGATAAAGTAAAGAAGATCCTGCAATTTATGGAAGTAAAGCAGAATAAAATCCAGCAAGATCAGTAATATGTCAATTAATTATCTGCCACATTCCCATGTAAATATCTGTCTTTGGAGGATGTGTTTTTACCACCCCTAGTTCTCTCATTTTTATTCCAAATACAATTTATAATTTGAATCACAGGGCTATTTTTATCTCTATGGTTCAGTATTTTCTCAAGTAGCAACTTTAACTGCTATACTTTCCTGTCTTAAAAGGCAGAACTCTTCTAGTCTATAAAAACCTCATTTGTTGAAATGGGGGGGCCTATTGTTTGAACCCCTTAGGGGCTTTAAAAAAAAAGTCTTTTTTTGCACTTTATGAAACAAAGTACCCTATATTTTGTGGATGTACAGCTACATTTCTCATGTAAGTTTGCGTAGTTTTAACACAAACATTTATTTTTCATATTGCACCAGTACAGTTAATGAGGAACCTGTACTTGTGTGCTTGTTTGTTCTGTCTAAAATGTTTATTTTGGAATAAAGAGGTTAATATAAAAAAATTTTTTTGTCCGATTCATCGATTAATCGAAAAAATAATCGGCCGATTCATCGATTTTTAAAATAATCGTTAGTTGCAGCCCTAGTACTAATACTTAATACATAAAATATATACTGGTATTTTTTTTTTTATTATAAAACTCAATCCGTTGTCATGGATGAATAACGATAGTTCAGTGGGTGAAATTGACGTACAGAGAAGTTCAAACCCCACCGACACCTCCTTTCTCTGCAAATCTCACAATTCTAAACTTCCACCATAAAATGGGCGAATTCAAACAAAGCCCCAAATTGACATCAATTTGGGGATGTTGCCTTATTAGGTTCTGGCCTGTACTTTTGTCACGCCCCGAAATTGACATACAGACCAGCCCACTGGTTCGCTGGCCCGAGAACAAGAATACAGGTAAATGTAAGACACCAGGTTAGCTGTATAGCCTACAGTTTGGTTTACTTCTACAAGAATTACAAAGCAGGCAGTTTCTCTATTGAAAATGAGCCAGAACCACGGGTGTTAATGCAGTGTTCCAGGCTGCACGGAGAAAGGGGACATTTTTCACAGTTTTCCCAAGGATCCGAAAGACTTGACAGGCATGGATTATTTTTGTCTATCAGAAGATCCCTGCAAAGTTTGATGCTCAGCTGTTCATTTGCTCTAAGCATTTTACCAAAGACACCTTTCAAAATCTTTGACGGCTCAAAGCAGGATTTGCTAAACTTCTTTTACTGAAATGAGGGGCTGTTCTGACCGTAAGGCCATCACAAGCGCAAACTATAAGTAATATTTTGTTGCTAAGCTGTTATTAGCAATGCTATGGTTACCAGACTTGGGTTTCCGAAAAGTACGACACTTTTTGTTTTGTTTTTTTGGGCTGCTGGGTCGTTGACTGGACCGGACCTGGCATTCGAAAAAAGCCATCAGCTCCGGAACCCGGTGGAGGTATGCTTCCCCCCACCTGCCATACCGTGCTTCCCCCCGTTCTTTCCCCCTGCCTTCTGGGGTAACGCATGGTAAGGCAGGTGGGGGGAAGCACGGGGCCGCTGTTTTCAAGGCTACCGTCACCGGGTCGGGTTCCGTCGCTCCGTCCCCCGCTGGCTCCCTTGTTCTGCAGCACTGTAGTCGACCAAAATCCCCGACGATTTTGAAATTCACCCCGGACATTTATTTAGGTATGAACAGAAGGACATGTCCGGGAAAAAGTGGACGCCTGGTCTCCCTACCATATCAACAATCTTGATGTTTCAGTGAGTGAGTGCTTGTTGCTATGATGCGTCTTTGCTCAGCAGCTTCGCTCATTGTAAACCAACCAATCAGCGCACAGCTCATCTAAATAGTCTTGAGCATACCATAAAAGGAAGAAAACCTGTCGTTTCATTCTGGGGCTCTTAACCAGGCTTGCATTAGGGCTCAAAGAACAGCAAATATGCCATTTTCAACCCAATGTTACACACCCTATTCAGAGACCTTAAGAACCAGCACCAAATATCCTATATGATCATTCTATGACCACTTTAATGTAACACATATAGTTAAGAAGAATACAAGAGTTAATTGTTTAACAGAACTTCAAAGATTGGTTGCTCTGGTTAATTTCTTGTTATACTACACCATAAAACAACCCAAAGCTGTTTAGAATCAGCACAGAAAATCTGGAAGAGGCACACCCACCTCTATGTCTCTTGGTATTTGCACCAGTGGTGTATTTTCCCAGTTTATAAAGTCAAACTTTTTGCACATTTAGAGTTGCTACGTGAATGATGCAGTGATCTAAAGGAACCTCTAAAATATACCTACTTTAAATGCTTTGGTTTTCACCATCAGATATTTTTCACATCTTGATACAGATTCAGCCAGAGGCTCACAGAGAGGGGTCCTACTGTTTTCTATCATAGTCAGAGCTTTTAAATTTAGCTGTATCTCATGAAAGTCTCTGTGCTCTCGGTTCCTCATGATGAGGCTGGTGATGCTTAAACATCCATCTCAATTCTTGCAAGGTGACTATAAGTGATTAGCTGTGATCAGCATTCAGGTTTTATTGCCAACCTCTGGGTTATCTGCTACCAGTTCTGCAACACACTCACCAGGCTCCTCTGTCGTGATCCTGTTCTGGTAATGAATGAAGCAGCCAGATGCTAAGTTGTGCCGTCCTTGTACATGTGTGCCCAAAGTTTTTTTTTTTGCCTCTTTTTCTTTTGACTCACTGTCAGGTGTTGTCAGGGTCTGTAAATAAAGTGGTTCATTGTATTCAGTCTTTCTTGTAGCTTGTAGAAAATTCTTCTCCAGTAGCTCTGATGACACAGTTGGTAATCTTACCAATCAAATTGCAAGATAAAGTAGCCACAGGTTCTAGGGACGCACCTGTGGTGCAGAACCAGAGCCAGCTTGACTAACATGAGAGCACATAGATCAGTTAGGAATGAACAACACCACAAAATATGAGTCAACAATCATCAATGCTTCTGCGATGGGAAGGGATGAGCATAGGGGCCCGCTGCTGTTGGTACATGGCCTTGATAGTCCTAACACTAGTGATGGCAAGGCTATTTTTATTCTTTTAGTTATAATGACGAGAACTTTTTTTTATTTTACAGTATATGATGTATACAGTAGTTGCTGCTGTTCAAGTGTCAAATTTGCTAATAAAGCTGCTGGCAGATTGATCACAGCAATCTTTAAGTCTACTAATGCGCCCCCATTTATTTTCAGGCAAAAAAATGTGTAATTTTGAATTTACACTGCGTTGCAAGGCCCAAGGAGCATTGGTCATTTTAAAAGGATTAACCTGCTTCACTTGTCATTTATATGTTATATTCTACAATAAGTGACTAGAGAAGCTACTGTATATTTGTTGCTTATTATATTTGTTGGAGCATTTATTGTTTAACCATTGAGCTTTGGTTACCTAAATTAATCTATACAGCCCAGTAAATGCTCTAATGTGTCTGGAATTGCTGATATCAACGCATATATACAAATATATTTTAAAACTTTTTAATATTAATTAGTTTAATTATTTGATGAATTGAAGTCTTAATGTAAATCTAGTCCCTCTTTAGTGAATTGTTTTGAGAATTATTTTCCTGTTGATGTGATGTGACTTCTGTAAACAGACTGCAGTCTGGCGGACAGGGATTATAAATGCTCAGTTTGCAGATGAACAGATCAAAGTTGCATTGTAAGTTAGGAGTTAGAGAACGCTACTGGGATGAAGGCTTGGCGGAACTAGGTCCCTTTCAAAAATGTGGCTCAGAATGCTGACTGTTAGGCCACATTTCCTGGCTTTGCTGCATCTTAAAGCAAACCGTTACAGTATAACTGTTATTAGCACTTTTAATTTCTCAATCATTTTTATTTATTTTTTTACCATTTTTTTATTATACAGAATTAATGTTGCTACACTGGCTAACTTCAGTGTGTAACTCACCCCATGTGAAAACATAAGCCCACCAACAGATCAATTTAGAAAAATGCCACCAAAGTGGTCGGTGCCAAGAGATCCTCAGGGTGGGGCTAAGTGTGGGGGTTAAATCAGGTTGTGGTTGGGACAAGTGAAATTAGCTGCCAGTTTAGCGTAGCCTTATCGAAACAAGCAGAGTGAGTCCAGATATACTGGTAGTTACGTAATTTGGGATCTTTTGTGCTGGAGAATTTTTAACCTAGACACTGGAGGTTGGGGGGTTGTGGAGCACAGTGGGCTGGAGCCACTTGCTTCAAAAGTGTGACTCAGAGATCCCCAAAGCCACTGCTGCTGAGGCATTGGTGGAAGACAGGATGACTCACAACAGAGGCATGTGTCTGAGTGAGTTTTATTTATATCAGAAAGCCTGTACTATGATGATGAAAGCCTGTACCACCGATATTCAACAGCTATAGTCCCCATTCCACCATGTAGGGCAACACTTACACTGTTGTGAGTAAAAATTCTCTTGGAAATGCATAGTAACATTAAAACATCATGTCAAAGACAGTTTATGTAGTTTATCTATAATAAAAAAAAGAGTTGATTTTGCGGTTATTACAGTTTGACCTTTCTTTTCTCAATACATCAGGTGTTACACATTTACTGATTGGAAAAAGATTACATTTTCTTAAGTCATTTTTTTCTGAGCCTCTGACCTCACAGATCTAAACCCAACCAAGTTGGCTCTTACTTTTTGGACTCACACTGATCATATTACTCATGGCTGAGCTTTCACCTTGTCTGCAAATGTTTACTGTCAATCTGTTACTATTTATTCACGGCTTCTCTTCTGTAACAACCTCACCTACAGCACATTTTCTGTTTATCTGATAGGTGTTCGTATGTTGGACGGGCAGGTGACCGACGTGGTGGAGGCTCACTCCCTGAGCCTTAACCCTCAGCACATCCACATTTATAGTGCCAGCTGGGGCCCAGAGGATGATGGGAAGTCGCTGGATGGCCCTGCCAAACTTGCCAAGGAGGCTTTCCTTCATGGAATAACCAAGGTAGGTTAGAACATTAATTAAAAAGTATACAACTCTCTTTCTAAAAATGTTGGAATTTCAGATATAATAACAGCAACATATTTCACAATAAGCTGAAAAGTTAGAAACTAAGTGGGTGTTACAGATTTAGAAAAAGCACCTGGTAAATCATCTAAAAATAAAGAAGTTATGTAACAAATCGGTAAGTAACATGATTTGGAATAAACCTGGAGCACAATTAACCTTTTCAAATGTTTGAAGAGTTTGATTTTTTTAAGTTGAGTAAAAATATCTGAAAGATAAATTAGTAAGGGCTGTCATATAATTATCCTACAATAAAAGATTCAGAGAATTGATTCCAGTCTTCAGGCTGTTGCACAGCATTGCATCAGATTCTGACACAGTTTTGTAGATGAAATCGCTGCATGATCTAATGGACACTTTTGAACAAAAAAAAAGTATTTTAACAGAGATATTTGCTGCATCCACAAATGCTGATAAAAGCTCCACCATAAAAAGAGACAGAATCCTAACAATCATGTTTTCCAACTGTTTGGATGCAGAGCTAGCTTAACCGCCATTAAAAGCTGCTGCACACTGAATCGTATTAGCTTATAATACAACGGGTATTCGAGAGGGAAGGTTCTCCGACTGCCAAGCAGCTGAAATGCTCCAAAACTGGATATTACAACCCAGGTGGAAAATAGTTAAAGGTGATATCATGAAAAGGCTGATAGAAAGCTAGTGCTTATGCATTCATACAGGTTTCCCACACAGTAGAGAAAATGTGTGTGAGATAAAAGCATGGTATTTCATTTTTTATTGTTTATACTCTGAATAGGTAGTAAAGAGAAAACTGAATGAAATGTTTTTTTTTAGGACTAAACAGTGTTTATGAGAAATATCCGCATTTATTCAACACAATGCTTTTATACATAAATGATGCACATTACTCCTCTTAATGCCGGATTTGTCTTTATTAACCGAGTCTTTCATTTCTTAAAGCAAAAATGCTTTTTAAAAATAAAAAAAAGCGCTTTTAAAAATAAAAAAGCAAACAACTGATGTAGGCATGTCCAACATTTTTATGGGTATATATTGGAGAGATTATAGAAAACCAGGTGGCGACAACAGTTTGTTGTTTTTTTAAAGAAAACAATATAGCAATTTAATCTGAGTCGCTTATCTGTCTGTAAACTAATTTATCTGGATTTATTGAACATGCCTATAGCATCCTAAAATGTGTGTTTAGAAAGATATAAATCACAAAGACAAAGCTTTATTTTGAAATATGCAGTGGCTGCATTAAAGGTTTAATGGAATTACTACAGCTAAGTTAGAACTTATAGAATAGCTTAATTTATCTAAATATACACGCAGAAGCAGTTGGAGCTTTTAGAAGATCAAAGTAAAATGAAAGGGGTAGTGAGTTTATACCATGTTTTAATTGTGGCCCTTGCTTTGAAGAGCAATAATGCCTGTCACTTCTCTGAACTGCTTAAACAAATCATAAGCAAGAAGCAATTAAGGCTTACATGAGGTATTATTGTAGCATAAGGCCCTAATACTACACAGAACAGAGAAAACGAGTTATGAGTACAAGCTAGAGCTATGTAAGCTAGCCACTCATATTAATCATCGCCCCTATTGATTGACAGGCTGTGACTTACTAGAAGGGAAGATGGCCAGCTGCCATTTTGGACTGAACTTTATGGTCAGAACTATTTTCCAAAGATGAGCTTAAGGGATGGAGACATCTTAGATGCCAAGCACATCCAAGAACCAATGCCTAACACCACTGTAAAGCTCCGAATTTGCATAAAGATAGACACAATTACTCACAGCTGGGAGGAGAGGACAGCAGGGGCTAAAGGCAGTGACTTACAGCAATTGGACTTCTTAGTTTTCAAACTACTGAGGGGATTTTAAAAGTGGGAGGTGATGTAACTCAGTAGTAAACATGCTCTGGGAGGCACTGGGGGTTGGGGGGTGTATGGGGGGGTTCACATATAACATTTTAATGATTAGAAATAAACGTCTCTAGTGGAAACCACAGATGTTTCATGGTGGTGCAGTGATCTGATTGATTTACAGATCATTGCCTTCTGCTCCTATTCATTTTTAAATGGCTACCCACCTTTCTTGGGATGACATCTACTCTCTTTCATAATTTACAGAAGTAGTAGACAATTATTATTATTGATATTTATTCTGTGTTATCCTTAAGGTCATATAAATGAAAAGTTATTTGCCAACAGGAAAAACTGCATCAAATGTTGGAAGCTCAATTATTAATATGTATTTCGAGCTGTTTCCTCCTGCATTTGGGCTCCACAAAAATATATTATGGAAATGCATGTTTGAAGGTTGTTGAGCATTGAATTATACAAACTAGTTCTGGTAAGCAGTACAACTTGAATTGTTAAAGGAAAAGGAAAAGACAAGGAAAATAATTCAACTCTCAGCCAAAATCGTCCTGCTGCTTTCATTTTTCTAGCTGTTTTTTCAGCTGCTCTCTTGCCCTTTCCCTTGCATGATCTCTTTTTCTCACTTAACTCTTGGGTTGTTTTTTTTTAGGATGGAAAACCTAAAAAATAAAAACTTGTAAGGTTACCTACGCAGCTTAATATATTCTTACATGCATAATTTTGCTTTGGCCATTTCATTTTCTGCCAAAAAAAGTAAGCAGTTTTAAGAAACCCCTTTATTTTGTCTTTACGCTGCATTTGCGCATCGTGGATAGCTTTTGGCCATGACATTTTTAGCTGAGTCTGTCAAACGTTTCCTTTTCACAGCTGCAGTGGTAGTAACACCGTCAGAGTAGCAGCTACGCAAAGTTTGGGTTCTACAGCTTTGGCTGGTAAAGGGTACGGAACCATACTTTTTACAAATGGAGCAGCTCATTTCACCAGGGATGTAGCTTAAACCAGTTAGGCTGAAATGCATCTTTCGGCTCCTTAGTGAAATTGACACCTGTTGGAGGATTTGCGGGATCTGGACCGATCCCAACATCACTGGGTCCGGCTTTCTATTAAACCAGCATACTTCTTCAGACCAGCATACCCATAGTCAATATACATGTGCAAGACGTCAGATTTAATACACATATGCTAGACCCGTCTATCCATTCAGTTTTGTATGAAAAATACAATTTAACTACCTCAATGGGCGTGTATCTCTTTGGTCATCTACACGAAAACTATTCAAGGTCAGATCACCATACGCTTAAAAAAAACATCAAAAAGTAAGTAATTAAATAGTTTTTTTGTACATGACTAAAGGATTACATGCCTGTTGAGGTAGTTTAAAGTGTATTTTTTTTTGTACAAAACTAAAGGGATAACCTAAAGGGATAAACGGGTACTGACTATGGGTATGCTGATCAGAACACCAGTATCACATTTGATTTGCATTGTTTTTTTAGAAGCTGGTTCTTCTGTTGTTATGACCATAATTTTGCCTTTTAGCCAGCAATCCATATTTGGAATATGTTAAAGTTTAAAGACATTAAATATGATAACCACTGGTTTGCTAGCAGAAAGAGAAAAGAAGAAGACCTGCACCAGTGAGTAGTGGAGATTTTCTTCTTCATCTAAATCTGAACACGTCCACATTAGTAGCTAACCATCGCCATGATGTTTTTTTAAGAGTGAATTTCCTGCATTATTTATAAAAAACAGATTTACAGGGATGGATCAGATAATTTATTATTTCCGCTATCCCGCACTGAATTTCAGGCCCTGAGTTTACAGGAAACAGGCAGAAAGAAAATCAGTATTGGTTTAAAGGAAATGCACACAAAAAATGAAAAAGCTTAGAGGTTTTTATGTTTCATACGTCAATGATAGTATCTTTTGTTGACAGAAATGTACTTCCCCAGTAAAAAGGTTGCCTTAAAGCCTTATTTTTAGGAAAATTCAATATTTTTATTGTCAGAGAGGACATGCACAAAGACTGTCTTTAAGACTTTCCATCTATATAATAAAGAATATTTGCCAGAGACGTTAGTCGGGAAAAGGACAAACTGAAGGTCAATTTGTTAATTGCCCATTGACTTTAAAGGCTTCAGTAGGATTAAATATGAAAGAGTTTTGGCCTATTACCTAATTGTAATGTCGTCATTCCTTATGTGTCAAGCCTATAACATCTAAGAACGTTAGCAGATCAGTTCGATGAGGAAAAAGGAGATATGAGAAAACAGACAAAAGCTGCCGGGCATAGATTCAAAGTCAGCGGTAATTGCCATGCAAATGAATGAAACTGCAAATTTTCTGTGGCAACGAATGACTCATAGTTCACGTCCTGAAATGTGTAGAGCTCCACATATCATGGCGTGTTAGTGGAGATAAATTACCTGACAGGAAAACAACAGGAGCCCTCTGGTTCAGCGTGTGTTCTCCCTGCAGCGAGATAACTGCTGCCGTTAAAGTGTTCTTGATCGGGTCTCTGTAAACTCCAGCAAAAGGCGGCACCGGGTCATAAATTGAGCCGGACGGTTTAGGAGTGTTATGTACAGTTTCTGGTGTGAGCAGCCCGTTCGATTGAGACTGCATCCAACACTCAGCAAAACCTCATTTATCCCATCGTATAAAGAACGATCATTTGTGAGACACGGGTAAAGGAATCAATTAAGTAAATTAAATGGATAATCCTCATTAAAAAAAAAAGCCTATACCAGCTCATTTAAAAATCTGTCTTCGGGTCCAATTAAGGTCTCTTTGTAGACTTATGAGCTTAACATTTTCACTGAATAACTGCGCCAAGGAAAACAACATCATAGCATCACTGATAAAAGGGTAAATCTTCGGGTAACTAGACAAGCGTATCAACTCATAGCAGCATCTTTTCATTTCAGTTAAATGTATTGGTATGAACCCCCTTTTTCTCATTTTTGATGATGGTTTTTGCAAATAGAATTTATGACACTGCCTCGCACAAATTTTCACACTACTTCACCTTTATAGACTTTATGAGCTTCGAACTCCAACTTCAATGACATGTTTTAGTATTGTTTGACAGACTAAAATAAAGCACCACCTTTGCGAAAATGAAATGTCTGTTGTTTTAAAATAAGAATCCAAAAACAACATACTTTGTATTTATATTCAGATGTCTTGTCCCACTTCATAGAATCACCTTTCACTGTGTTTATTCTTTTGCTTTTTGAGTTTCCAGATTTGTTCAAAAAATTTCCATTCTTTATAAAATAGCTTAAACTCAATGAATGGAGCGTTTCCAGGTGATATTGTCAAGTCCAGCCATAGATTGTCAATTAAACTAAGTCTGGACTTGTCTATGGCCATTCTATCAGATTGGTTGATCTAAGCCGGTTTTACTTCTGGTTTTAATCAGAATTCTCCTTTCTACTGAAAGGAGAACTATGGTTAGTTCTCACCTCTATTGCAGCTTCCAATTGGTTTTTCATTACAGTTGGCCTTATGTTTAACTCCATTTATGTTCCCATCCACCCTGATCAGCTTCACTGCCCCTGATGAAAAAAAGCATGCCCATACCATGATGCTACCACCATCATGGCCGATGGTTGTTCTATTTGTCAACAGCTCTACTTGACCAGCCTGTATGTTTTTGTGGTTCACAATAAGATTAACTTGATTTTATTTAGAGGTTCCAGAATAGAAGGGGCTGCAAACATAAGCATATCTTTTCATATTTCTGTTTAGAAATAATGTAAAGACCCCTGTACCACTCTCCACTTCACAAATATTTGCCATTTCTTAACTGTCAATCACATAAAATCAAATTAAGTTTTAGATTATAATGTGGACTGGTTTTTAAAAGATAATAATGTTACATGTTCATTTTGCTTTTTATGTAAATTGGGAGGGACTATGATTTCACTAATATAAAGTTTCAGTATAAATTCACCATTGATTTTGTTGTTGTTGTTTTATGAAGCAAGAGGGAAGTTGAAGCAAATGTTTGTTCCATGACAAGAAATCTACTTTCACTATGAGTTTGAATAAATTCACGATCACATCTGACAGCAGATCATGTAGAACTAATCAGCCTATTGGAAAATAAGCATTAATTTTAGCAAAGGGACCCTGAGGTCACTATGCAGCCCCCAGGCTGTTTCAGAGCTGTGCAGCCCTGACATGAGATGCCCCGATGCTCACCACTCCATTCAGGCCTCAGGGATGCTCTGCAACAACTGGTCTCTGGCAACAATCAGTAATATTTTGAGATACAGATGGTCAGCGGTGCAGAAGGTTAGGGAGCAGACTTCTGGCTTTTATATAAGAAAACAAAATGGAGCCAAAATGAATTAAGCGTGCGCAAAACTGTCAGCAGTTCAGTTTCATATGTGTTATAAAATAAGTTAAAGCCAGTATAACAATTTTCAGAATTAATTTTAAGAGACGAGGATGAGTATCTGTAACAAAGTTACGTCGCAGTACAAATAGATTAATTTAGTCCTGGTGCTGCTACATAGATTTTTGTTAAAGAAATGGTTCATAAGATTTCTCTTTGGGACCTTGTTACTAGTATTGATTGACTAGTACTGCCTTTTTCCTTTCTAATCCAATACAATAAAACACAGACTGGTATCTGCAATACTGACCTAAAACTGTTAACATCACTTATGTGTAAAACATAAAATGACATTTCTTTTGTATATAGTTTTCAGCACTGAATGACTGCCCAAATTTTGTCTTTGTTTTTTTCTAACTACAGCATCTGACTGTGCTCTCCTCTTCTGTCCACCTCCTCGCAGTAAATGCCTCTTATTCTGTGTTGTTGTTTTAACCTGAGGTGTTTCACAGTTTTTGTTCTGCTGTCACAAGTCCTTACCGTTTTTCCACAAAGATAACAGACCACACCGTGGCTGTTTGTAAAGCTGTAAGAGCTGCACGCATGGCTCCGTTTACATTCTGCCATTGTTTCTGGATGACAGATGATTAGCAACAGCACATTGCGTTCACACTGTGGACTAATACAGGTAGAAGGAAATACAGTTCCCACAGATCTCAATCATTTAGCATTCATCAAGTGCCTAAAAACAAAAGTATGGATGTTTTGATTTGAGAATTAGAGCATCATGATCTGGAATAGGAGTTATTGATATTTTTAGGATGAATATGTATAATCCTAATAATAATAACTCAGTCAGAGCCTCCTGATGAAAATGCACATGTATCATATATGAAATTCTCACACATACAGTTCAGCACACAATGTTTTATACTGCTAGCAGATTTTATTTTAAAGTACTTTTACACTTTTCAATGTGTATCGTCTCACTGGAAGTGAGTGCTAAATTGGATCAGAGTTTCTGACATAGAAGATTTAGTGATAATTACTAAAGATGGCTGGAGATGTGGAAAAGTTGGTCTGGAATCGTAAGAGGGTTTTTTTTTTAGTGTATTTTCCTTAAATATCCTTTTACTGACTATTAAGGAGGGTATAAGTAGTTGTTTTTTTGTGTGTTTGTAATTTTAATTAAATAAAATAAAAAACATTTTTTTCACATTTATACAACCTACATTAAAGTTCTTGCCTGAATAAAAGAAAAATTCAATCTGTCAGGGCTTTGTACAATATTGGGCTTAACCCTGTGTATCCAAGTTTCATGTTGTTCTCATTTAAATATCAAGCTGTGATTTATTCACCAATATTCTAAGCTTGACCGTGTGTAGTGATTACATTCCCATTGTTTCTTTTATTTGATTTACTACTTGACACATCTCTGCACCTCCGGTGGTTCAGACTTTCTAAGGTAAGATGAAAAATGTCATGCCGTTCAGGAAAAGAGACAAACATCTTTGTCAAAAGCAGCTTTCCACACTTCAGCAAGTCCTTGTTAGTTCCTTACTGTTTTCTGGCTTTCAGCTCCATGGTGATTTTCTGTTATGTTTTTTTTTTTCTTTTTTTACTGCAGGGCCGCGGCGGACTGGGCTCCATCTTCGTCTGGGCTTCAGGCAACGGTGGCCGAGAACAGGACAGCTGCAACTGTGACGGCTACACCAACAGTATTTACACACTGTCCATCAGCAGCACCACAGAGTCGGGCAACGTGCCGTGGTACAGCGAGCCCTGCTCCTCCACCCTGGCTACCACCTACAGCTCTGGGAATCCAGGGGAGAAACAGATAGTGAGTGAAAACATCCTCCTGCTTACTGATATTACCTTCATTTTTTTATACATTACTTATTTCAGGAAATTAAATAAAGAAAATTAACCATATCTGCCTACCAGATATTGCCGTTGAAGCATCATAAAATATATATATATAATCCGGTGGATTTTCACATTAAGCATTTGTCTGTCATGTAGTAAAAAGCATAAAACTGTCAGAAAACGGAACGTCTGATGTGTAACATCCAACAAGGAGAGCGGACAAACACTGAAAATGTCACATGCTTCTTTCAAGCTGCTTGTCAGCTGATGAAAGGCTTGCTTCCAGGGCACAAAATCACTTGAAACAACTATGAATCTGCCTTTTTTTTAATCCAAAATACACCAGAGGGCTGTTGCAGGCAAACAAATGCACCTCATCAAAATGGGTAAAATGAATCTTGTTTTCAAGAACTAAAGCAGCACCGGCTGGGTTTTGCAGCTGCAGCATTAGAAGACTGGTGTTTGTCCTGAAAATGATTTAATGCTACGTCTCTTTGTCTAACACTGGTTTTTATGATCTCTGTGACCTGATGGTGTGATTGCTGCAGTTGCAGTGGAGAGGCTTTTACAGCAATCCAACATGAACATTACACTGTAAAGGAATTGGATTTTATGACCTTTTAGCTTTCTGAGATCTTGAGTTATTAAAAAAGAAAAAACCAAAGTGTAAATTATGCTTTCTCCTAATTAATCAGAAAATAACTGACTTTAATCCTTAGAGCAAACACTTAAACCATTGAAGACCATTTAGGTTCACAGATAGTCTAACATGTCTAAATTGGTGTCAGAAATTATACAACATAGAAGGAACAAACACATTCTAAGGCAGAATATGTCAACTGCACACTTAAATATGTTTTTGCTAGAAGGAAAGAAGGTTCCATAACCATTCAGTCACAAATGAACATAAATATACTAAATATAAAAGTATTTCTTAAAAGAACTGTGCATCAAAATGTCACTTTTATTTTTAAAATTTCGGTTGGTTAATTCTGATTATCCTAATTATGTTGTTTTATGGTCGAGTGTGCTCACATAGACCTATGAATTTAGGCACATTAGTATTACAAAATTATTATATTGGAAATTTTTAACTTAAGCAGCCACAGAAAGACTGCTGCAGATGTATAGCCAATGTGAGAATAAAGTGAAAAAGTCAAAGATGGCCGTCACTCAGCAGAGCTTTGCTTATTGCATCAAAATCTGGTAAATATTTGTTAAAGGAAAACAAACATTATAGAAAAACACGTGGATCTGCTCTGGCCAAGACATTGTTGTTACGTTAAGTAAACATAAGCAAGACAATACAAAAAAATTAACAGTATATTTCAAAGAACCGGTGAAAATTATTCAGGAATGTTAAGGTCTGTATGTACATTATGGTGCCTTGCAAATGTATTCCCATTTCTCCTGTTTGTGACTCTTCACTGCAAACTGTAATGTATCATTGTAGGGTTTAAAGGTATAGACCAGTAGAAAGTTTTCCATGACTGTGAAGTAGAAAAAAATGTACATGATTTCCAAAATCTTTCACACCAATAAATTCCGAGAAGTCTGCATTTGTCTTTACTGTACTTTAAACAAATTTCATCAGTCTTTAGAAGCATTCTTTTTTATAAACATAGTTCAACTGCATGCAATATATATAACCATGACATACATATTACTATAGTATGAAGTTTGTTTGTTTTGTAAGCAAACATAGACTGTCCATCTGACTGACCAAGCAAGGAGTCTCTTTGGGTGGCAGACAGCTAAGCCTGTAAACATTAGTCATGGTGTGGAATTGCTTTTGTTTCTTAACACAGAAATGGAAACCGCTTTATCATATGATAAAATCGTTTTGAGTGGGCAGATATTAAAAGCCTGGAAATTAATGTATCTGCAATAGTTTTGTAGTCCTAAACAAAACAATTTCTTAATATCACAAAGCAGGCCCCAAAATACAGCTAATAGTCATATTATATCATATTATCATATGATATTATGTGCACATCATATTATTTAAATTTGGACCAAATGAATACCTTTATCAGATATTTATTAAATCTATATCTTTGGTCCAGCTCCAAATGGAACATTTATCCCCTTCAGACCCGACAGTTTTTGTTTACACCTCTGACACAGAGAGATCATCACCTGAAAATGATCATTAGCGCCACAATCTGTCAGGGCAAAAGTTGCAAACAGATCCTGCCTCTGTAACCGTCACAGCCGGCCTTGGCTTCTAGCCTCTTTGTCATTACCAGTGTGTCCTCATCGTGACCCAGACATGCATCATTAGCTGGTACTGACAGACAGGAAGATCACAAGCGTGCATGGAGCACTAAGACCCTTCACCAGCGCCAGACCTGGCTTTGACCGATTTGGCTGACATTTGCTGTCCTGCCTGTGACCCCTTGGCAGGCATCCATAAACCTGAGACTGAACCTACCAATTCATTCTGTCCTCCTCCTTCTCATTCTTCTTCCATCTTAGATAGCTGCAGGGAAAACTCATATTATCTTTTGCCCTCCCCTGTCTAACACTCAGCTTCTCATGCTGTGAATTCATAGTGAAGTGTCATATTACCTCTGTCTCTCTCCTTTAGTATTTATGTGCACTTTTTCCTGGTCTTATTCTCTTTAAGGTGACCACAGACCTGAGGCAGAAATGCACTGACTCTCACACGGGGACGTCTGCCTCAGCCCCACTGGCTGCTGGGATCATTGCTCTGGCTCTGGAGGCAAAGTGAGTTGGAATGACACAGATGACTATGAAAACTGAGCCACTTGCCTGCTTTTCTAATTGGAATACTTTTTTTCTATTTAACATGCAGTGTCAGTCAGAAGTGTACATGCACTCATTGATGAAATAGCTTTTAATTATTAGCATTTAATTATGTATTTTAACCTCAAATAGGTTTATCTAATCCATGCAGGGTTAAAAACATACAGAGGCTTAAAATTGAAATAAATAAGTATAGGACCAAAATAAATAATGTGAATGAATATATTAAAGTAAATGTACATTTACCATTAAATGTTTAATTAAATTATTAAACCCACCTATATAGATTTGATTTTTCTGAATAAAGGGACAACACACATTATTCAGCACTGTTGTAAGTATGCCAGAATTAACATGAGGGCTATTTTACATCTGCGGTCCCTGAACAGATGCTACAAGTCATCCTAAAAGAGAATAAAAATCACATTATAAAACTAGAGAAAAATACGATACAATAAAACAGAACAGACACCTTCAGACACACTGTTACACCCAAAATACTCAAGCTATGCATCAATAGGGAATAGCAGAGACGTTTTTATTTAATGCATCATTAAATAATTAAATGTACCATTGAAAAATTAAATATACCCATTAAATGAGGCCATTAAAACAATAATTTAAAAACATATAATGATATCACTCATTTGCCTCTTTATCCTTAGTTTAATTTGAAATAAATTCATAAATTCATGACAGAACTCACTATGGAAGAAGATGACAAAGATTTTAAACAGTGTCAACATTAGCCCCGCCCTCTTATTAACAGTGAGCACTTTATTTTATTTGACAGTCTGTAAATTCTCTTAAGTATTTGATTGTTCAGTGGGACAGGTAATTGTAGATGTATTTATTTCATGTTATTGTCAAAAAGATAATCTACAAGACTTTGTCCGTTTTAATACTCAAAAAAAATATAACGATAGTATTATATGTATTTCTGTACACACATTCCATTTATAAAATGGTTAATTAAATGCTGTGTGCAAATTAGTCTTTTATTTGGTCTTGGCAACAACTCTTATGCCACCAAATGGGTGGCATGCTTACATCTTTCACGCTATAGAAGCGTGCAACTCCATCACGCTGCAACTCCATGGCATTCCTACATAGATATGTCTACTTTATTAAACCAACACTAAGTAACTTTCCAATCTTTATAAAAATATTTTCATAACTTTTGTGGTAGTACATTTACTTACATCTAGTTGAATGACACATCTGTCTGGGCTGTATCACTTTCACCAGCACTAAGCTTCTTTGAGGAGGGTGGCAGTAATGCTGCCACACAAAACAACTTTGAGTGAGAAGACAGCATTATGGCATACATCATTTCTCCCTATCCCCATTCATTGTAAAGACAGAAACTTATCCGACTTTATTTCCCAGGGAGACCGCATATTTGTGCATGTTGTACAGGGTTGATATTCAGGCAATGCAGCACCTTTCTGTTGGGATCTATGTGTGTGTTTACTGTGACATTATTTATGTATTTATCTGTTACAAGGCTCTAAATTTGTCAGGACATCAGTCCCTTATGAATTGGGTGAGGTGGGGGATTGGGGTGACAATGGCGGTGGTGCAGGAATACAGTACAAGACCAAAGTTAAACGTTTCTTATATTTAACATAGTCATACATCGTTTCAGCACAATGGGCTCTATGCAAAACTCTACTACCTCCTGAACTTAAGGCAGCTTTAATCCATTCATTAATGGATGAATGGATTAATCCAGGTGCGTCTGACCATGGTTACTAAGGTCAGGCACACCTGTATTAATCATCCAATAGAAAAGAACAGGAAAAAAGAGAGCTGCTTGAGTTCAGTAAGTGGTAGAGTTGTGCATAGAGCCCATTTGATCCATTACCTCATCACTATTAACCCAAACCTAACCCTAAGCCTTACTACATTTCTGAAACAGAAATGTAGTTCAGTCCAACTGCAGGTGATCGGAAGATCACGATTTTACTACACTACTCCCTGGTTCTCATGGGAAATTATATCTTCCTTCAATCCACCAAAAAGGAAATTTCTTTAGAACTGTTTTAATTTAGACTCTCTTTGTCATTGTGCGTAAGTGACCTTCAGATTGATTGCAGCTGTTTGCCTATGGGTTTGCACCTGTGTTTTATACATGCAAAATGTAGAGCTAAGAACTACATGTGCAGTTTTCATGTATGATTCATCCTATTATGGAAGGTGAAGAATTACTTTTACACTCCGTCCTCACATCATTTTGCACATTATGAGGAGCAAAATTTGTTTTGCATAAAGACAGACCCTCAAACTGTTGGCCTGTTGTTTTGCTAATTTACCGACGCAAACTGTGTGCACCTTGTTAGTTGATCAACTTTGCAGGCCCGTTGTTCTGTGTTGTTCTACATGCTCACAGTTTGTAGATCAGTGTCTTAGTATATATGTAATCTGATGTAAATTCCTTTGTTCATCTCACAGTGGGAAAATGCACTCTCTGCATTTAACCCATCCCCTTGGGGAGCAGTGGGCTGCCACTGTGCAGCGCCCAGGGAGCAGTTTGGGGTTAAGCGTTTTGCTCAGGAACCCAGAGTAGAGGCTGTAGGGATTAAACCGGGTACTTGCAACCTTCTCAGAGCACAAGCACAGTGCACTAACTACTAGGCCAACACTCCCTATGAACTTTAAACTTAAACTCAGGCATTTCAACCAGTGAAAATAGGAAAGGATTGAGCAGTACATTTTCTTTGAGTAGGCCCGACTGATGAAGGGGCATAATATTGTTAGTTTTATCTTTTACTATCATGCTCAGCCCAGTCTTCATGGGAGGTGTATGTTCACAGCTGGGACTTGATAGATGCCTTTGGGAACCCTAGACAGAATCCCAGCAGATATTCTTTCCACAGTAAATTAAGCTTTTGATAATCACTTAATGAACGTGATAAAGCAGCAGCTTCAGCCCACACAGACATTCAAATACCTGTAGGGCTGCTTGTGAAGATTTTTATTCCTTAGAATCTCTCTCATTATCGCTCACATAGGAGTGCAGGTGTCCCAAGCTTCCCTGAGCCATCTAACGTGTTCTCTACAAAGTGCATTATCTGCACTTGTATCTTGCATGTGTTGAGTTTGGGTTATCATTGTGCTGCTCTCCACTTTGCATAATTTCCCCCATGTCTGAGTTAGTGATGACAGGTGTCGAATCCAATCCAGCACAGCTTTACAGCACAGGTAAGCCTCTTCAGCCTCCCTGGCTTATCTCAGTGCTGTCAGCTGTGATATATCATGAGAGATGGGCAGCAACTGACAGAGTTCGTGTTTTCACTGCACTGACTATCAGTTATCAGGTGGTATTTGGTGCATTCCAGCAGTCAACTCCTTATGACAGGCTGCAGTAATTACAGCATAGCTGCTTTATCAGACTGGATCCAGAACTGAAACTTCTACAGATGGGATCATTTAATGGGCAGGGAGGTTTTGACTTTCTGTTGTTTTATTATTTTTTTATCATTATCCCTCTCCCTCTTCTTGGTTGATGCCCATTAATAACACAAGAGAGGATGTGAGGCAGGTATGCTGATGTGGATGGAGGGTGGTGATGTGCTTCGGTGAAATTCTGCTTCTATTTCAGTCAACTGTGGTGCTGAGCTTAGTAAGCATGGTGATTCATAGTTTTGTTATTCAAGCTTTCTGAAGAGTTTCTCTTTATTGGAGCTTTACAAGCTTCTCTAATCGAGGTTTCTTCATTACATCTAAATGAGAGAGAAAAAATGTATTTTATGATAGCGGTGTTTTGTAGAAGGTGATCTTGGCCCTTAGTCCCAGACCTCATTTTAAACTTGCTTCTCAAAGAAGAATTAATGCCATTCAACTTTTTATCTTTTTTATGGTGTTACTTGACCTTTCAGCTCAATAAGCTACACAGAAAAATGTAACTCTTGTATTTTGCCATATCAGTTTCACTGCATTTATATCCATACTTCATAAAGCTTTTCACATTTTCCCCTTTAGAATCGGAAAAAATGATGTGCTTTCATTTGATTGTATGATCGCTGATATGATAAAAGAATGGGGAAAAAAGCAGTGACCACAGTCAAGACCCAGCTAAAGGACAAGACTACTTTAACACCTGTCCAGATTTGTGACCTGTTGGACTTCTGCACATATTTCAAATACACTAAAAACTTTTTCTGAAAGAGACATGGGTGCACTATGGGCTCCTTAGCATCACTTTTATTGGACTATATCAACATGGAAGAGGTGGAGAGCAGAGCACTCAGCACACACAAGGTAACACAACCATCTCACTGCTTCAGATATGTGGATGACACTTGGATCAACTCAGTGGACAGAAACATCAAGATACTAGAGATGATGCCAGGAACAACATGTTGCTCTTTCTGAACTGTGCTCTGCACATCGAGGACAATGGGAGTCTTAAAACCAGTCCTCGAGTTGAGGGAGATGAGGGGGGATGGCTCCCCCTTCTTAAAAGAATCTTAAAAATCATGCCCCTTCTTAAATATTCATCCCCCCATACCATCCCCTGTGACATTTTATCACTGAATATGTAAATTTCTATTAAATATTAACAGTAATGGCAATAATATCGCCCTTTCAACATTTGGCGGGCTGTGTGCTTAGGAGTAGCACACATCCTGCGCTGTTCTGAACAGCATCACGGCCAAGCAGCAAAGACAATGCAATTTGAGGGAATGTGAAAATAAGGAGGGGAGGGAATCTTAGGCAGGTTCCAGGTTCTAAGTTGCCGAGATCCTCCTCCCCTGCTTAGTTTGAGAAATAATATTCTTACAATTATGCAAGTTTCTCTGAATAATCATACCCGTACTCTGTGATTGTGGTATGAATTTCATAAGTCTGGGACAATAAATGTGAAAATAAGGAGGGGAAGGCAGGTTTCAGGTTCTAAGTTTAACAAATAAAGTGTCAGAAATGATCTAGAATGGTGTTGATAGCAAAATCGAGAACTGGCATGGCATCCACTGAGCAGAGAATTTATTCATCGCACACTGACTGCAGGACATTGACTGAAACATGTCTCCATAAGAGTAAAATCCTATTAATTTGAATTTATCTGTCCACCAAAACTAGCAATTTTAAGGCATCCATTTATAAGAAATATGAAAACATTGGGAATATGTTTAAACGTTCCCTTTTCGTTTATATTTCAATCCGTTTTCTCATCAATGGGTTTGAGTTTAGGGCAATGCGCGCCCCCGCGACAGGAGAGGTAATTCTAGGCCCAACAGATAAAACCCAGAGGAGATAATCGAAGCAGGGGTGGATTTAGGAAATTTGGACCCTAGGCAAAGACAGACTTAGACTTAGACTTCTTTATTTGTCATTTTGTATGCAAAATGACAAATAAATTAAAATGAGTGCATACAGAACGAAATTGCGTTGCATACAGCTTATGAACATTGCATTGATATTTCAAATGAGATGGAATACATTTCCGGATTGTTAAACACGAGTTATACAAAAAGTGCAGCAGTGCTCAAAGTGTAAACAGTGCAGTGGATAACAACAGTGTGATATCTTTAATCACATTTTTGGGAGTCAAAATGCATTTTGAGATACCTCAAATGACGTCATCTGATTCATCATTTAAAGTGTCACACATCCAGAATTATAATCACAATTTCAGTTACTTTGAATTAGTCAAAACCATATATTTTTTATATCCCAATTATGAAATATTATATTTTTATTATATACATAATTTTGCATGGCTGCAATGTAGCTGGCTCTTTTTGACAAAATGCCACAATATAGAAAGAACTCAGCAGTATGGGATGTGTGGAGAACACCAACTTTTTGAACTCTAAGATCCATTTCAATTTAATGAGAAGTTTCTTTCATATATTTAAACACTTTTTTTGACAAAATCTTGAATTTTTTTTCAATAGCTTTTTTACTCTGCTCCTCTAATCCCTTCACCAGTGTTTCCAACTCCCCAGCAAGAAAGGCCGCTATTGGCTGTCCTAAAATGCACTATAAGGTGCTAGATAAAGCCTGTCGTCCAATCAGTGGTAAATAGCTTAGTTCGATGGACCTGTTAGAAAAGTTTTAACTAATTCATTGCCAGCAAGTAGTCTAGCTTACATTAAATTAGCCAATAGAAGCAATACTGATTTTTTGATAGTCTACTTTATAAAATAAATACACTAAATTAATATTTGAAAGGTGTTTTATGAGATTTTGTTCCAAATCTTAATAGATTAATTGCCAAAAGATTATCCAAAGTAAAATATAAGAAGTGTCCTACCATGACTATGAAGCTGATCCCAGTTGGAAATTGATCCTTATCTATGTAGGGGCAGTGTTAGTGATACTGCTTTAGTTTAATAGAATATATTAGTTAGACTATGTATACTTCCACAAAAACAACTTTTGTTTTTACAACTCGACTACCGCTTAATACTGAAGTTTACCAGAAACCTACACATACAAACCAATACCGGAATTTTGACTTGCATTATCCACTGGTACATGGTGAAGATTCTCAGTCATTCAGTTCAGTCATTCCAAACAAAGTTAAAAACAAACCCCTGGAGTTTGTTTTCTAAGTTTGAAGACATTTAGCTTCCCATCCAGACAGCTTTCTCAATTCAAAATGTCCGGATTAGCGTTGAGTTCCAGACTTTAAGCTTTGTTATGGCTTAGAAAACATGCAAACTGAACCGAAAACAGGTCCGTTTTTGGCCTGCAAATTAACCTGAAACTGATCCATGCCTCTGAAAAAGGGGAGTTGTTAGGGTTGTTGTTGGCCTGGCTTAACAGGGGCGATGTTTGACCACCTGCATGGCAGTGAGGATGGAGGTCATATTTGGAAGGAATCAACTCTGTTTCGTTTTAGGTGTTTGAGACCTGAAACCTGAGTCCTCCCCCTCTGTTTAAGGTACATAAACTTTCTATCACCGCAACTTACAGGGCTGATGATATTATAAAGAACACAAACAGCATAGGAGCAGCCAGTCACTATAGGCAAGCTTCAGCTGTAGACTGTCAACTCAAGACCAAAAGACAAGCCTTTGATGCCCAAACCATTCTGATTTTTGATAGAGAGGGGAGATGGTTTGAAAGAGGTGTAAAGGAAGCCATCTTTGTTAAAAAGGAAATGTCAACACTGAACAGAGGGGGAGGGTTGAGATTTCAGCTTCCAAGCAGCTATAGTTCACTCCTTGAAATGATTACAAAGTAATTAAATAAGCACTCCCATCATAATGTAATAGCCGAGCACATAACCCAAAACACAGTAAAGAACCCAGAAGAGGAACAGGTGGGTCTTTGACAACTGGCAAAGATTCTTTGATAGGTGAAAACTGATCAAAAGTCCTTTTGCCTCTGGTTTAAACTAGGGTTGTCAAAAGTATCGATACTCAAAAAAGTATCGATACTGAAACGGTGTATCCGGATACAATACTCATTTTCAAAAGTATCGATACAGTGCCACCACCAGTGGCACCTAAACAGTCATTCATCTAAAGTGCAGAATAGAGGAAAATGCACTTTCAGAACACTGTGTGATTGAATAATTCTGTGCACCTTTTAGTTTCAGACTTTTTTTGTAACAGGTGCAGCTGCTGAGAATTATTTTTGTTTCTTAACTGGTTTGGCTAGTGTCATTGTTATGTGTGCAAAGCAAAGCTAAGTAAGGAAAACTTAATTTTAATTTAATAAGTTTTTTATCAAGCTTGGTTAATATTGTGCACAGCATACAACCTCAAAATATTGTGCTTATTGTTTATTGTGTTTATTTATTGTATTTTAATTATTAATCAAAATATTTCTTTTTAAATTTGGAGTTTTTAGTCTTGAGGTATCGAAAATGGTATCGAGTATTTTTCCTTAGTATCGGTATCGAGTTGAAAAGTTTAGTATCGTGACAACCCTAGTTTAAACCTGTTTTCTGGTTGCCATGATCCGGGTGACTGAGAATTTACACAAGCACTTAAATGAAACATTTCCTTTCTTTCCACTTAACAGTTATACTCTGTGTTGTCTCAGTCGTCCACACAAATGTCCAAATAAGACATAGAGTATGGAAACATTCAACAGGTTATGATCAGTACTGAAAAACACTGTAGCTGCTTAGTTAAGATGCTTTGTCATATATCCCCCAGTCTCCTTGATGTCTCAGTGTGTTATTTCAAAAGTGTCCATTCGTCCTCGCTGCAGGAGCTGAGATTGATTATATTTCAGGTGTGTCTGCTGTCCCCTGACCTTTTCCATGTCCCTCAGCTCCTTACATTTCCTCTGCTGCATTATTGTGCTGTTGAGGTCAGCAAAACCTGACTTCCCTCATAATGTGCATAATGTTGAAATTATTACCTTCATCTGTTACATGACAGAAAGTCAATACAGTTAAATTGCCCTCTGGCTTTGTGTGTTTCAGCATGAACCTAACCTGGAGGGACATGCAGCACCTCGTGGTGAGGACATCCCTGCCGGGGCATCTTATCACCGGAGACTGGAAGACCAATGGAGTGGGACGCATTGGTACTGATTATCTTTATTAGTCTAAATAAAGCACAGATTTTATCTTATAGTTGGGGGTTATGTTTGTCCCTCACTGTCGTGTGTGGGTGTGTTCTTGTTCTGTTTTTTTACAAATCCATTCTGTGTCCCAAAAAGTTCTTAATTGTTTGTCACTATCTTAAAAAAAGATAGTTGAATTAATTCTGCAATCTCTTCTTGCAGAGTCAGAGTACTGCAGTCATTATAGACCATCTCAGATTTTAATAGCAGATGTTGTAGGTTTTTTTTTTCTTCTTTTTATGCAGTATTTTACAAATAACCAGCAGCTGTGGCTCAGGAGGTGCAGGCAGGGTTTTAGAAATCAGAAATTTGGCCTTTCGATCCAAAATCCTTCAAATGCGCTATGTCCCTTGGCAACACAAAGGCACCAAATATCCCTCTGAATTTCCTAAGCTTTTATTTTTTCAGCAATGATTTTTAACATTATATGTGAATATAATACCCATCATCACTAGAATGGCAATATATAGAGTTATTTCTAACATTAAAAGACCAAGATAACTGCTGAATCAGCACTTGCTTTTTTTGAAAATGCTCCTTTCTTTTAGCTTTGTGCACAAACAAAACAAAAAGAAAGCATTCTGTCCTTAAAGCCTAAAGTTTTACAGAACTTTTAGAGTGAATCTATGTAGCATTGTTTGTGTTTAGGGGTGGCTCTGGGTCAGTGGGGGTTAAAGTTGTAGGTGTGATTTAGCCTCCTGCTGTAAAATGTCAGTGAGCAATTAAAGGGAATAACGTAAAGTACTGTTAGTGGTCAGTAGAAACTTGTAGAAACTTGCTATATAAATTCAAACAACTAATATGTTCTCATTTTATTTTCATTATTTTGAATCACACTACAGACATAAATATTATTGATTTAATGTTAAAGTAGGAAATGCAACGCTACAGGAAAAGCATGCATAGCTTTTTTATTGTTTTGTTTTTGTTTGTTTTTTAACTAAAATAAAGTTTTTATTACTGACTGAATGATTAAATTCAAGTCTGGGCTTTCAGGGGTTCATTCTACAGGTGCTGGTCATAAAATTAGAATATCATGAAAAAGTAGATTGATTTCAGTAATTCCATTTAAAAAGTGAAACTTGTATATTATATTCATACATTACATACAAACTCATATATTTCAGATGTTTATTTTGTTTAATTTTGATGATTACAAATGACAACAAATGAAAATCTCAAATTCATCATATCAGAAAATTAGAATATTGTGAAAAGGTTCAAAATTGATGGCCCCTGGTGCCACACTCTAATCAGCTAATTAACTCAAACCACCTGCAAAAGCCTTTAAATGGTCTTTCAGTCTAGTTCTATAGGCTACACAATCATGGGGAAGACTGCTGACTTGACAGTTGTCCAAAAGACGACCATCGACACCTTGCACAAGGAGGGCAAGACACAAAAGGTCATCGCTAAAGAGGCTGGCTGTTCACAGAGCTCAGTGTCCAAGCACATTAATAGAGAGGCGAAGGGAAGGAAAAGATGTGGTCGAAAAAAGTGTACAAGCAAGAGAGATAACCGCACCCTGGAGAGGATTGTGAAACAAAACCCATTCAAAAATGTGGGGGAGATTCACAAAGAGTGGACTGCAGCTGGAGTGAGTGCTTCAAGAACCACCACACACAGACGTATGAAAGACATGGGTTTCTGCTGTCGCATTCCTTGTGTCAAGCCACTCTTGAACCACAGACAGCGTCAGAAGCGTCTTGCCTGGGCTAAAGAGAAACAGGACTGGACTGCTGGTGAGTGGTCCAAAGTCATGTTCTCTGATGAAAGTAAATTTTGTATTTCCTTTGGAAATCAAGGTCCCAGAGTCTGGAGGAAAAGAAGATAGGCACTTCATCCACGTTGCTTGAAGTCCAGTGTAAAGTTTCCACAGTCAGTGATGGTTTGGGGTGCCATGTCATCTGCTGGTGTTGGTCCATTGTGTTTTCTGAGGTCCAGGGTCAACGCAGCCACATACCAGGAAGTTTTAGAGCACTTCATGCTTCCTGCAGCTGACCAACTTTTTGGAGATGCAGATTTCATTTTCCAACAGGACTTGGCACCTGCACACAGTGCCAAAGCTACCAGTACCTGGTTGAAGGACCATGGTATCCCTGTTCTTAATTGGCCAGCAAACTCTCCTGACCTTAACCCCATAGAAAATCTATGGGGTATTGTGAAGAAGAAGATGCAATACACCAGACCCAACAATTCAGAAGAGCTAAAAGCCACTATTAGAGCAACCTGGGCTATCATAACACCTGAGCAGTGCCACAGACTGATCGACTCCATGCCACGCCGCATTGCTGCAGTAATACAGGCCAAAGGAGGCCCAACTAAATACTGAGTGCTGTACATGCTCATACTTTTCATGTTCATACTTTTCAGTTGGCCAACATTTCTATAAATCCTTTGTTTTTATTGGTCTTCAGTAATATTCTAATTTTCTGATATGATGAATTTGAGATTTTCATTTGTTGTCATTTGTAATCATCAAAATTAAACAAAATAAACATCTGAAATATATGAGTTTGTATGTAATGTATGAATATAATATACAAGTTTCACTTTTTAAATGGAATTACTGAAATCAATCTACTTTTTCATGATATTCTAATTTTATGACCAGCACCTGTAACTCTGAAATATGTTTTAAACTAAACTTATTTAGTCTATTGTAGCTCTTGCTGTGTTTTGTTGGTTTTTATTGCTTTGGAAGATGAGACTTTCTTTTGTTCCAAGTCCTTTGCAGTTTCTAACAAGGTTTCTTCCAGAATTGCTTTGTGTTCATCTACCCATTTGCTCTGCACAGCTTCTCTCCGACTGGTCAGCTGGTGTCCAGAGCAAAGCTGAAATCAAAATGAGACAAATCCTTTTATTCAGTGACCCTCCAGTCTGGGTCTCTCTCTTTTTACGCAGCAGATTTGTTGACTCTCTGGTTCCTTTTAAAAGAAAGGTAGAAATAGCATTTTTTTATAAATGGGATATTTGTCTTGCTTTAAAATGTTTTGTTGGGCCAAATGCCATACAAATGCTGTTGTATGGCCTATGGTGTTTTATATTACCCGAAAGCTTGCCATGCATGTTTGCTTTTACTTACTTACTAACTTCCCTTTGGTAAATCCATCCATAACTTTTCAAGTTATCCTTTGCACAGACAAACAAAAACACAAACTCTCCTAAAAACATAACCTCCTTAGTTCAGGTTAAAAAAAAAAAAAAACAGTGTCAAGCGCCTGTCATTTAATGTTGAAATGAATATTATGAAAAGTTATCAGTATTATCAGCCCTAGAAAGCAATCTCTGGCTCTACATCAAGAGCCTCAGACCATTCGTAGTCTTGTTGAGTTTTTACATGAGATGCTGCAGCCAGATGTTTGAAAGCAGCACATCGATCATGTTGTAATTCTCAATGGTTTCACGATATTGAATCTAAAAAAAATAAATGTGTGCAAGAAACTTAGTTTTAGTCTATCTTCGCCATCTCTCTGGATCTTTCTTTTCTGCAGGGAAATTGTGTAGACTGAACTGTGGTTTACAACCACATTTCTTCTTATTTTCCATGTCTTCAGATGGACTCGCTGTAGCCTTGCAATCTTGTGTTTTCCGCTACCTTTCAAGCCTATAAATGCCGTTAGAGCAATCAAACGTTGCACAGAGCACACTTGTTAGTCTTGCAGACGTCACTTGAGGCTTGAAGCCTTTTAACCAGTCGCTGTAACCCTTTACTTTCACAGTTTGCCACCTGTACTGTCGGCGGGTTTTGCTTTGTAACCAAAGAGTTTCACCTCAGTCGATATTCACAAAATGAGACTCATTATAGGCCAGTAGATCATATACACCAAGAGAGATGACAGACGGGGTTGTTTGCTGTCTTTAGTTAGTATTACATTTTCTCTTTGTTTCTTTCTTTTGGGTCCTTGTCCTGTCAGGCAACCCCATCTTTAAATTGGTTTAGCTTTTGGCCATTCTGCCTCAAATCTGACTATTCAATTGTTAGTATAATGAGGAGCAATGGCCGACATAGGTATGGTGCTGTCACTGCAAAACCAGCACAAATCATATTCAAGATAAGACTTTTAATGCTTGAATTTGGTTTTATAATTTAACATTGCATTGAAGGTTATGGCAAAACTTTGATCTCAGATTTCCAAAAGAAAATTGCTCCAAAATTGTGGTGAATCGTTTGGATGAAATTGTGCAACAATACGTGAGGTGATCTCTCATGGCTGCTCAGTGGAGCAGTGGGTAGTACTGCAGCCTTGCAGCAAGACGGTTCCAAGTTCCATTTGCGGCCCGAGGTCTTTCTGCATGGAGTTTGCATGTTCTCCCTCTGCATGCCTGGGTTCTCTCCGGGTACCCCGGCCCCCTCCCACAGTCCAAAGGCATGACGGTTAGGTTAATTGGTTTCTCTAAAAAATTCTCCTTGTGAGTGTGCATGAATGGTTGTTTCTCCTGTTTGTCTCTGTGTTGCCCTGGATGGCCTGGCAGTCTCTCCAGGATGTACCCAGCTTCTCTCCAGTTGAAAGCTGCAGATAGGCACCAGCACACCTCCCAACCCCAGCTGGGATAAGCGTGACAATAATGGACGGATGATCTCTCATGCTCATAACAGAGGAGGCCCATTCTCCCAGCGGTCTCTTTAAATAAACTATATTTGTTTATTTTGTGAATGACCTCATCCACATTGATGAGCAGCAGTTATTGGCTATTGCTGTACTAGCACTCACCTTTAGGGACCAGACCTGCAAAGTGCATAACTACCAGCTTCTAGAGCTGCTTAAACCTTCTGATGATCAATAATCTAAAGCATTGAATTATTTCCCCATCAAATCTGCTCCTTTCTAAATGTACAGAGAAGCCCTCTTCAGGATATGTGAGGAAAGAGGCTCCAAAGGTGCTTTCATCTCAGAACAGTCGACTTCTTACAGTATGCCAGCCTCAATGGTAGATTTAATGCTCTGCTCCAGCCTGTTCACTTAGTGCTCCTTCATATGCCTTTCCACATTGTGTTGTGATGCCGACGATCAGCTGTCTGGCCATGTCTTTAGAGCGAGGTGATATGTTTGTTTACTTTGCCTGTTATTCTCCTACCAGAGGCTGTCATTTAGATGCATGCACCCTTTAGGGAGCTGAGATGAAAGGGAAATGTTAGGATGTCTCCTGGAAGACCTTTGAATTTATTATGATTTTAAAAGGAACATGAAATAATTATATTATTGGAGGCTGCAGAAAGGGAAAGTAGCTGGATTGTGCTGTTTAACATCACTTGGTTTTTTTAAGAAAAGATTTTAGAGAGATTCGTCTGAGGTTAAGGCTCACCTATTGTGTTACTGAGAAGAATTTTTTTCTGGTTTTGTCAAAATGCCATCATCCCCACATAACTCTGGTGCTTTTTGTTTGTTTGTTTTTTTCTCCTCAGTGAGTCATTCTTACGGCTATGGTCTGCTAGATGCAGGTGCTATGGTGAGTTTGGCAAACAACTGGACGTCAGTGGGACCTCAGCACCAGTGTGTTATCACCATGCTCACAGAACCAAGGTTAGAAGAGTGATTTTAAACTCTGCGGCTGTGGGGGCGGGTATGTGTGTGCATGCTCTAGCTTTTGTTCTGAGGAGCCACTTTAACTTATAGGGCCAGAGCTCCATAATGCAAAGTGCAGTTTTTTTTTAATGCAACGGTAGGTTCTGAAGAGGCTTTCTGTTCAAATAATGCAGTCAGTATATTTTGTTTCCAACTAACAGGGTTATTTTAACTATTGCTTTTAATATTACGATGTAGTGTTAGAAAGATATACACCCACATATTTAGGTTAAAGTGAGACTTCCTGTTTGAGCACAAGCTTTGATGTTTTAATTTTACTTCCTACCTACTGATCTGCTTAGAGATCAGGTCAATATACACTAAGAAATGAGGATTACCTGCTGAAAATATTGGCTTCAAGTTTTATTGGAAATAAATTATTTATAAAAATGTTGTCTTGTGCATTAATGGTACTTTTGTTTTGTTTTTTTCATTTTAGTCTTTAAATTGCCAGAATTAGACATTCTTGCAGCTTGATATTTCTGTCTTTTTGGTCATGCAATTTTTGAAAATAAGAAATCAGTTGATATGATAAGTTATGGTGCCATAATGTAATGATAATCATGGTGGGTTGCCATGACCAAAAATGCCAGGGCCATTTAATGGTCCCAGTCCAGCAGTGGGTTGGGGTTAAGTTGTAGAAAATGAGTTGAAGTCAATGCACAATCTGTATAAAGATAGAAAAGTGAAGCTCAGAGGGATTGTACTTATGCAATCCACTCTCTGTCTCCTTATCCCTCTCAGGGTCTTTCTTTCCTGGGGATGTTTAGATTCTTAGCACAGTGTGATCGCCTGTGTCCGTTTTCTGCCACCACACAACATTAACCACTCTCCCATCCGCTCCCCCACCCTGCAGAGACATTGGAAACAAGCTTGTGTTCACCAAGAGGGTGGATGCCTGCTGGGGACGACCAGAGTATGTCCGATCTCTAGAGCACGCTCAAGCTCGCCTCACTCTTTCCCACAACCAGCGAGGAAAATTGGCCATTCATCTCATCAGCCCTCTGGGCACACGTTCCACCCTGCTGTTTCCGAGGTACACAGTTAAACGCGGCTCTTCAGAAGCCAATGCATGACGTAGGGCCTCTATTCTGTGCCACACACCCAATGTATGTGCATGCACTTCTATTCTGGTCATTCTCAGGGAACCCCACCTGTGTTCTCTCACAGCAAAACACACAGAAAGAAATAACAAATACTCTATATCACTTGTTTTCTGTTAAGGCCCAATGACTATTCTTCAGAGGGATTCAATGACTGGGCCTTTATGACCACCCACTCTTGGGATGAGGACCCACAAGGAGAGTGGTCCCTGGAAATTGAGAACGTTGCAGCTAATGAACGTGACTATGGTAAACCACTCATCATCATTAGCCGTTTGGTCAGCTGCCCCCTCTCCAACATCGGACTTGCTGCATGTTTTCACGCTTCATTAAAAATACCCTTTTCAGTTCCTCTTTTCTTCCTTCTCTAATGACACAGTTTGTAATTTTTTTATTTGTTTGCTGCCCAGAAGAGAGACAGGCTCTCAGAAGCCTGTCCGTATCAAAAGTCGACGGTCTCTACAAAAAACAGCTTTTATGATCTAAACTGCTGAGCAGGGTTTTGGTTTCTAGCCTTTGGTCTGATGTTTTTAGCTCAGAAACCAGCTTATGTTTGTGATGTTAACACCTCTGAATTTATCCCGTGGCTCTGTTTACTCAGAGCTGTTGAGACAAATGAAATAGGAGCACTTTCTCTTCCTCTGCAGATGTCGATCCACCTCCTGAGTTGTTTGGCCCCCCTCACTTTAGCTGCTACCTCTGCTTACGCCCCCACATCTTCTCCTCAGCCAGTTCATTCTGTTCTCCCACTGAGAACTGCTAACTTGATATTTACCTCCATCTCCTTTTGAACTCTTCCCTTCTTTGTTTCCCTCTCAGGTGTGTTGAGTCAGTTCACTCTCACCCTGTGGGGCACCGGACCCAGCGTTGTTAACCCCTCGTCCCCCGACTTCCCCCGACCATCCAACAACAGCTGCAAAACATTCGATGCCCAGCAGATCTGTATTGGTGAGAACATTCTGCCTTCCTGGAAAAAATTCAACTGGATTAAATGTTGTTGCAAAAATATTCATACCTTCTTGTGACAAATGTGTGGCTGTCAAAGTTTTTTCAGAGAGAAAAATCTGAGAGGTATACATATGAAGATGACACCCTTTGTTGATGCAGATTGATAAATGTTCAATGAAATACATACAGTATCTTGCAAATATCAGCAAGTGAATAAAAAACACCTATATATAATGTATTCCTACTGTATATCCTGCTGCTTAGTAAAGGACTCAGGTTCTTGGTGTGTGCTAACAGCATCCTGAAGACCAACAAAGGCAACAGGAAGGCCAGGGATTCATTTAGAGAGAAATGTAAGCTTTGGGCAACTATGGTTCTAACAATATTTAGGCAAAATAAAAACTTGTTGGGATGCAACTTGGGTCTAAGCAGACCTGCTATGCAAGTACAGAGATAATCATAGGAGCACCCAAGAGGCCAATCTGACAGGTATAGGAATCTGTCTGTCAGTCGGATCTGATTTAATTGTCTCTTTAAAGTGCCATAAATTGTATTGTGAATTGGTGCTGTCGATAAACTGAATTGAATTAGAGCCACAACAATATTCATCATAATAGGCAACAAATCAATATCAATAGAAATTGGGTCCAGTAGACTGTTCTAAAATTTCAATAAACATCTCCTCCAGAATACAGCATTCTGAGGGATGTAGGCCAACGAACGGATTTTGTCTCTTAACCTCTCAGCCCCGAGCTAATCGAGGTTGGTAGTAGGGATGACCTGATAAACATTGACATTGCTGAATATGAAAAGTTTGTATCCTGATACTATTTCCAGCCAGTTCGATTATCTTTACAAAATATGTCTGCAGTTTTTCAAAATCCATGTACAGTGTAGGTGACACAGCATTAGGGTCAGAGGAGACTGAGTTGAGTTTTTTACCCTATTTGTGGCTAAAAAAACATAGTTTGGACATCACCTTGAAAATGTGATCCCCTCTAGCTGTGGAAAGGATTTAATACATTAACAGGAGTCCATATTGGAAGAAAAGCTATTAGGCAGTGTTGGGAAAGTTCTCTTTCTACGTGAACCAGTTCAAAGTTCAGTTCACACATTTTAAAATGAACTAGTTCAGTTCGTAGTTCATAATTCAAAACCAAAAAATGAACTAGTTCATAGTTCTTTTTTTTTTTTTTTTCATATGTTGCTCAATTACATCATAGCCTACTGTAGAACCACAGACAGCAATTATTTTATCAGTTGTAACTCTGAAACTGTGCGTCAGATTTCATCTTCATATCCAGTTTTGAATCCTTATCCAACCAGGGTTTACATTAGCATTGAGGGGACAGATTTCCCCATTGTTGCTTTAATGCTTTGTTGCTGTCCATTCACTTCACACTAGTAGCAGCTGCAGCTTTCACCCCTACAGTATATTCTCAAAAACATCAGGAAAAATGTGCTGCTTGAATGGTCTTTTTAATGAGTAATTATTAAAAGAAAAATAGGAAAGTAGTCTTTAAGGTGCAAATGTTTTTTTTTTATTTTAATAATTTTTTCCATTTGAAATTCCATTTCAATACATACTAAAAAGGAATCCTGGAATCCTGGAAAATTATACCAGGCAGGTTTAACAAACAAGTTACATGGATAGTAAAACCCTCAAGAACAGGGGTCTTCTATGTTTTCCAGACCAAGGACCCCCAAACTGATGGTGAGATGGAGCAGGGACCCCCTAACTATATATATTGTATGAAATTGTGTCCTATAGTCACTCTATTACAGATGGAGTAATGTAAAGAAATTAATTTCTCCCTGGGATTATTAAAGTTTTTCTGATTCTGATTCCTGGTTGTTGTGAAGGAAACGGTGCCCAGCTTGAAAGAGCTCCTGTGTGTCGCTGAATGTGAGCATTAATGACTGAAAGACATCTTTTGTCTCCATTTATCTGTTTACTACAGTGTGTTGATTTCATGTTAATGAGTATTTAAAGACATTTCAATTAGTGGGGGAAAAAATTGCAGGGGGGGAATATAAAAATATCAACTAACCATGCAGACCCTCATGCAGTACCTCCGTAGACCCCCTAGGGGTCGCGGATCACCTGTTGAAGACCTCGGCTCAAGAAGATTTTACTAACACAAACTGGGGGACCAGGCTGAGGTAGGAATTTAAGGTTACTGAAAGCCGGCGGGCAAACTTGTTGCCATCATCCTCACCGACCACCTGGTCATAAATCTGTTTTAAGTGATCATACTGCTGCTTTGTCGCCTCCACGGTCGCCTCCATGCTGCTGTGGCTTCCACGCTGCATTTTGTTTTGATGACGCACGCGGCTGTAGGCTACGACGCTGGTAGCTGGTGTTGCCAGATTGGGTGTTTTTCCTGCTACATATTAAGGCCTGTTTACGGTGTGATTTAGCCGGGGTTTCGCCTGGAGGGCTCTATAGAAATCTGGCAACCTATTGAACGGAGTTGAACTGAGAGAGCGTGCCGTTCACAGACACCAGAATGAACGAGTTCAAAATAACGTTCACCAGGCAATAATGCAGTACGTTCAGTTCACGTTCGCCCAAAATATGAACGAGTTCATGAACTTTCATTCAATGAACGCGTTCAGGCACAACACTGCTATTAGGGGCGGCTAAAGAAGAGACTTGGTCTGTTTTGAAGTTCACGTTTGAGCAGAACTTTATATCAAACTAAATAAAATAGTTTAGATGGAAGTAACTAAATCTTTTAAAATGGCCTAATCAAAGTCCAGGCATACATCTAGGTAGGTGATGAAAACTGATGCTTGGAGACACTTTCCTCCACTGAGATCGAAGCTTAGGGTTGTTTTGCAGAGATAAATAGACTCTGGGGAGCTGAATACAAGCTAATTTTTTCACACTATAGGTTTAAACTAAACGGTTTGAAGGATGTGATACAGTACTTTGCAATGCACTGCCTGGCTATTGTTTTGGGACATGGCTGTTATGAAACAGGCCTCATGTGTTGGACTTGGTGATGTTTGGAAGTCCAGTGTTCTGAATGCTGATGAGGCATTAACAGCCCTCTATGGGCATGTGTTTATTTGAGCACCATGAATTAGCACGTTGCCATATGTCATACAAGCGTAGGCGTCGTGGAAGGAGCAGGTGAAAATAACACCGTAATAGTGCAAGAGGTGCGTGCTGTCAGCAGTCTCAGCAGAGACGCATAAGGTCAAAAGCGTTTCTCTCTTTTTGTCAGTCAGACTCTTTCTACTTAATCATTCAGATTAAATCTGCTTTCCCTGTTAATCCTTTCATTTACAGACTCCCAGTTTCCTAATTACTTCCCAAAAATGACACCCAGGGCTGTCAGAAATTAAGTTAAATATACAAAACGAAGAGACAAGAGAAATAATCCCCCGCAAGAAGATAATTACACTTTTCTAGAAATTCTAAAAATATACATCTAGATTTATAAAATGAGCAAATCTCATGGGAAGATTACTGAACTCATTCTGTATTAAGACAGATAAAGTTTTCTCTATTTTTTTTTTTATGTGGGGAAATGAGCTTAAATCCAGAACTACTAAAAAAGAAGCCTCCCATAAATGTTTCACACCTACAGTCAACTGTAAGGATGGAAATTACCACAACAACGGGCTAAAGAAAGCTCTGAGGCCCCCACAGCCACACAGGAACACATTCTGCTGCTGCTTCCATGAAATGTTTTCACCTTATCTGAAGAGTGACACCAAGTCACGATATGGACCCAGAGTTGGCAGATGCCAAACCTGATCAGGTTGGAGGCATTAGAGCAGCAGCTCTACACAGAGCTGAATGTAGATAAACCTGTTTGGTTTTTAGCTCTGCTTTTTGTCCCAATTTAGAACATTGTCTTCAGCAGTTTGTAGCTAAATTATAGGAATCTCCAGGTCTTAATTAGCATAAGAAAACCAAACTTCAAATTAAGAAATGTTTGTTTCATGATTGCGTTTTTACTCCAAATTATTAAATATAAAGATGATTTTCTTGGACCCTTTTTTTTAGATTTGATAAGGACAAACTGTTTTCCATTTTCCATTTTGAAATGTAGATTTAATCTGAGTTGGATTAAATTGTTCCTTTTTATTAGTCTGTGGTTCTTAGGTGTTTTCCTAGCAGATAAAGCAGGGACGCTTTTGTTTTTTGTTTTTTTTTTTAAACCACATTTAAAGTAGTTTAGAGTGTTTTTAGGTATAGGATTCTGAAAATCTCTTAAAGTTGTGAAACAGGCTTTTACATGGCCTACAAACCAGAAGCAACTCCAACATCCCACTGCTTATAATTAGTGGGAAATCCAGAACAATTAGGTAAAGTTTTTGTATCCAGATGTTCATAGTGTTTTATAATCTGCAGGAAAAACAAAAATCTGATTCAGTAAAATCCAAGATTTCATAGGAAACCTGCTCACCCCAATTTTGTGCAGAGCAGAAAGGCAGAAACTCAGTGTTCAGTGTCTTTTTTTTATAGCTAGGATGTTAATATATATAAATATATGTATATACTTGCTCTGAAGATGATGTTTTTCATGCAGTGATCCTTTAATATTGCAGATTAAAAGAACAGCTTATCTCAGAAGTTAATTTTACTTAAGTAATGATCATCAAACACAGTAAAAGTACACAGTAAGCTTATAAACCAGATGTTTTAAACAGATGACGTTCTTGTTTTTTTTGTTTTTTTTTTCTCAAAGAGTACAACAATTAGAGGCTAGAGGTTTAAATGAGTCTTCAGACATCGTTAAATTTAAAAAAAAAATAAGTTTACAAAAATTCAAGAAAAAATACAAGCTAATTCCACTGATGTTCTTTTTTTTTTAGCTGAGCTTAGAAATTAGTGAGTTATATATAATTGATTTGATATAACATAGAAAAAAAAACAGCCTAAATACTAACAAAGAAAAAAAAATAGATATTTAAATGTAGTGTATACCCTCTGTAATTATGGTGTGTTCATACTGGATAAAACAATATTAACCATATTTCTTTGCAAGTTGTTTTTTTTTTTTTTTTTTTTTTGTTTAGTTTTTTCCTCCAAGTGAAGATACTTGAACTGAAATGTTCAGTAAACACAGTAGTGCTCAGCCATGTCTGTGGCTGGCCGTAACCTTTCCAAGACCAACGGACAGCCTATTAAATTGTGGAGAAAGAATTTTATGTGCTTGAAGGTAAAAGCAGTGAAACGTAACATAACAATGGACATAAACTCCTGTTTGCAAACCTTTAAAAAAGTGTTGTTGGGTTTGCCTTTCATCTGTTTTCATAGAAATCTGTTATTGGATATAATTAAGTGGTTTTAACAGCACATTTGTTCAACATGTTATTGTTGCTGTTCATAATGTATCTGGTTCAGTTCTGTCTAGCTCCATTATTCCATTCAGTTCTGCTATTATTTTTGTTATATAACGTCATATAACGTTATATAACGCCTCATAACAATTAATTCTCAAAGTATAATCACTTTGGATTGTATTTGTACTTTCTTTGAAACAGACTGCTGGGAACAAACTATATGGTTATAGGTTTAAAGAATGAAAATAAAATGAGAAAAAAAACATCATAAATGAAAATCTTTGGGTGACCTTTAGCAGAGTAGGAAGATAAATTAAATGGAAAGTCGTTGCTTATACAGTTTTTAGCTGTGTATGTTTTATTTTATTTTAATTTATAAAAACAAATCATTATTCAAGATTAACAGAGGTACAATTGCTGATTTTCTTTCCTGTCATCTAACAAAGGAAGAGTTTCAATTTATTCGATTAACTGTAAACACTGGAGCACATTTAGTCTGCTCTACATCACTGATGAATCTCTGTTAAATTACATTAATGTTCCCTCATCAATCCATCTCAGAAATGTTCAGAATCAACCTCAAGAGTGAAAAATTCACCTTTCCAGTCAGCTCTAGTATTATACCAAAATGAAAGTTGACTTTGTCAAAAATCTAGAACTCAACAGGAGCAAAATTACCAATAGAATTGGGAAACAAAAGTCTTAATAATTAATCATTATTCTATCATTGCTGATTAACTTTATAGTAAACAACATAAATACCTTAAAATATATAACAGATTCATTTATAATTGTTCATTTATAATGAGTAAATGAACACTTAAAGGTATAGTAGAGGATGTTCTTTTTCCACAGGATGTGAGCGTGAGACAATGTTCTTTACTGACTATGTTATTATTACCGGTTGTGTTGTGTCACACTTTATTATGTAAAGTCCATGCGGTTCCTGCTGGGTTTAAATGGGGATAATTGCAGGTAATGGGTTGGATCTCAGTTCTGAACTCTACGTTGAGCGGGTGGAGGCAGTTTTGAAAAATCAGACCCGTACAGGATTGGTTTGTGTAACAGGTGCACTGTTGGTTGGGGTTGATTGAACAATGGCAGGCAGTGTTCTTCCCTCAGGGGGCAGGGTGTCTAATCCCTAATTTGGATTACAGTAGAACTGGTTACTGATGAAAACGGCAGCTTAAACTGACTGTTTGGCTGTTCAACAAAGCAGGGCCTTTAACACAGCTAGCTTTAGGGAAAACAATTGTTTTCTCAGTCCAGGAGAGGTCCTGAGTTTACTTCCTAGTTTAACTGGTTAGTTTAGGGTCAATCGACCAATCAGAAGGGTAACCATGGGGATTAGCTCCCAGGCGACTGCTTGGCTCCATTTTTGTTTTGCCAAAATCAATGATCCTTCAACACAGTTGCCTAGGATAATGAGGCCTTACCTTCTAGAATAAAGATATTCCAGGTTATGTCCTCATGTATGTTTTATTGTGTTTACTGGACTCTCTCAGACAGTTTTCCTTAATCTCTGCTCTTTTCCACCTCTACCAGAGTGCAGCCCGGGCTTCTCCCTCTTCCTCCAAGGTTGTGTGAAGTTTTGTCCCCTTGGTTTCACATCAGGCCAACAGCTCCTCAACCTGTCGCTTGAGAACTGGGTGGATCTGTCCTCCGTTCAGGCCTGCTTACCCTGCCATCTCTCCTGCCTCACCTGCTCAGGTGTCGGACCTACAGACTGCCTTTCCTGTCCGCCTCACAGCCACCTGGTCCTCACCTCCTGTCTGCACCAGAACCAGGTCCAGAGGAAATCCCCTCTCCCTGGAGGACTGCAGGTTGTGGAGGCTGAGCCAGAGGTGAAGACGCCAGCAGCTGCTGGAGCAGACAATAACAGCCTACAAGCTGTGAAACCAGGGCTCGCTGCAGCTCCGCCCTCTCAGCTTCCTGTCATCTTGGCAGTTCTCAGCTGTGCCTTCATCCTAGCTGCCTTCGTCGGGGTCTTCTTCTTACTCCAGATGAACTCAGGAGAAGCTTCTTTGGCCTGGAGGACCAAACTGCCCTCTGTGTTTTCAGACACTAGGAGGACTCGACTGGGCTTTGGTTTGGGCTTCCAGCGGGGGCGGGAGAGGAAGGCTCGAATATGCTACAAGGGAATCCCCACTGTGTGGGCTGACGATGACACCACCATCTATGAGTCTGAATCAGACATCGAGGAAGTGGACGGTCACAGTGAGAGGACAGCTTTTATCAGGACGCATAGCTTGATGTAGGTGGATCTGTCGCAGTTGTTGTGGTTTCCTCCCACCGCAGCGTGGAGGGTGTTAGATCTGACTGTGCAGAGGTCAAACATGAAGGATGGAAGAAAAAAAAAAACGCAGGCCTTACTATCCAATCAGCATCACATACTGATGCCATTTCTAGGTTTTTACCGATCCTATTTGCTTAATGATGCTATGATTGTTGTGTTCATTTTGACCTTTCACCTGTAAAGCGTGTTGCATAATATTACACCCGTTTTTCATTTCCTGTCAGGTAAAACCACCAACTTAAATGTATTTAATTTCTGTGATAGACCAACGCATGGTGACTCTTTCTTCCAGGTAGGATCTGGCAAACTTTAAATTGGACTTAATAAAAAATGTTCATTGCCACTCTTCCTTTAGGGCTGGATTTGTGGATTAGACAAATAATATTTGTCCTCCTAAAATATTTAATGACTTTTAAAGCCAATGGTTTCCTATTTATTGTATTTAAAGATTACCAGAGTAAAAACTGCTGAATAAAAATTAGCACTACACTCATTAAAATCTTTATTTTAAATAAATAAAAATAAAAAAACTATTCAAGCCACATACATATTATTTCACTGTCATCCACTATTTTCTAATGGTCTATCATGTAAAATCCAAATGAAACAGGTTCATGTTTGAGGTTGTGACATGAAAAAAGGTGGAAAATTTAAAGGAGTATTGAATACTTTAGCAATGCATTATATGAAGTATTAAGCAAATATTGAACACGTCTGTAACCATTCTCAGTTTAAAGACGTTTGCTGGATATTATTAAGAGGATTGGTATAATGCTCTTGTAAAAAGAGAAAAAATGAAAAGTACAGTTGGAATGAAAGCAGAAGGCAAAGTGTCAAGTGTAATTTCACCTACATTTACACCTACATCTCCCAGAATGCAACGCTGTAATAGGTGTTATATGAACTGTCTCCACAAGCTGAATGTCTGCAAACATCAAAGCACATTTATTTGGGCTGTAATGTCCCACAAACTGCCCTTACATGACTCCTCCAGAACCACATGAGGTATTTCAACCTGATCCTAATCAGTAGGCTGGAGTCTGGGAGGAGTAGTCAAGAGAAAAAAAAAAAAAAATGGATGAAACATTTTAAATCTTGCAGTTCATTACTTCATCAAACCCACATCTGATGAATCCCCCAAATCCAAACCAGGCTTTGATAGTTTTATGTTTTAGATATATTTATTTCCTGACAGTCTGCAGAGCTCGAAGTTAGGAGGTTTGCATGCTATTCATTAATAGTTGGAAAACTTTAATTTGAAGATCTCTGCAGCACCGTGGGACGCCATAATAATGCATCCCGCAGGCTGTTCTAGCAGGAAACTGTGGAGGATGTTCAGCCCCCATTCCAGCTACAGTAAGGAGACATATCTGATGTATCACTCAGAGAAATGTACTGATGTACTTTTTTCTCCTATTTTAATGACTCTATGAAATCAGTTAGCCAAAGGCTGCTTGGTCGACCTTTGGCAGCCTTGTCCCAGTTGGTTGCTGCTGGTAGAGAAAAAAATATGATCATTTTCTTCTCATTTTCCCCACAGAGTGCAGTATATTGATTTCAGAGGCTGCTCTCCCAGAACATTTTCATCAAGGTGAAGTTCCCTCCCCGTCTATTGTCAGCTCCATACATTAAAAAGGCATCCACCAGCTTTATTTCCCATCTGTGTAGACTGGGCTCTACACAGGCTGAATCAAAGCCTTTGGATTTAAAGGTTGGAATAATTGCAGTTACTGAAAAAATTGGATATCTTGTATTTCTTTTTCTATGTTTGTTTTATAGCTCTTTTTTTTATTCAACTGATAACGAATGTTTAAAGTTCTGGAGATGAGTTTCATGCTGGATTAAAAAGACTTGGCTGTTGCACCAGTGTGACTTGTTTTTGTTTTCACTGCCAGCTTTTAAAACTTTTAAGGGTTTCAGGCGGCTGTAATTTATCCCTGGATGCGCCGAGCGCCACACCAGAGAGCAGATGGTTCATCACTTCTTTATTGCCATACGTCACCGTTTCAAATGTGTTTCCTTCACTCGGAGCGTCGGGCTTTATCCGGACGCCAGCATTCTGTCTGTTGCACGTATCGAGTCGCAGTAAGCAGCACTGCCAAAACGCCTTTGAGAATCTGTTTTCCACAGCTCCAAACGAGGAGGAATTTCCTGCTTGAAATGAATTGAAGTGTGTTCAAAATAGGAGCAGTTTGAACATCATAAACCAGCTTGATCACTGTGCCTGGCAGATATTGTATTTCTACACAATAGATAAATTAACAGAAGGTGTGAATAGAAAACTTAAAAGGCCTTCAACTTAAACATGCATGCTGTATTTATTTCAAAGAGGTTTGATCAGAGTTGATCAGGAAAACATATTTTGATTTTTTTTTTTTTTTTCATTTTATGAAGCTGAAAGTCTGAGATAAGAAATCTTTTAATATCCATGCTTTTTGTCATTTTGCTTTTATAGTAAGTAGGATTACAAATAGCCAATAATGACATGGATGGACAGTAATCTGAATTTAATTATACTCTACTAAGAAAGAGTGACTCCAATCCTGCTTTGTGAAAAACTGATGGAAACTGAGTTGGCCTCTAAATTAAATTCTTTGGGCTTTGATGTTTTGGCCCATATGGTTAAAAAAAAATGGACACCAGTGGTTCAAGATCACAGCACAGTCGAACACAGAAACATACCATCCTTGATGCTGGTGCAAAATCCTAACTTGCACAAACTAATTAACTTCAAATTTCACTTGGACCAAAAATATAACCTTCTAACTCAGCTGCTATCTGGGTTAGAAGGATGTATTTTTGGTACAAGTTAAATTTTTGTGAAAGTGCTACTAATAATAACAGAGAACATTGTGCAAAAATAGAACAGGATTCCAGCCTTTGACTTCTCTCCAGTGAACGTCCTGGAAGGGAACACCTGTTCAGAGCTTGGTCCAGGTGTGGTCATTATAGTCCAGTGATCTTTAAGCATTTTTTTGCTAAAACAGTAGTTTTCTGTGAAAAGAAAAGTTTCCTTGAAGAGATTTTCCTTCTATGGAGTTAATTAATGCTTATGATTTGCAACAAAGCAAATAAGAATTTCAAACTTTACTCATCCTTTTCAAAGACACTTATTTTGTAATCAGTTGTTTGTGCTTGATGTAAAAAAAAATAAGTTTTTATTTATCAGCTGAGTTGCTCCCTCATCTGCAAAGGTGCAGCTAACTGAATGCATGGGTAAAAGTGTATCCATTCTGTGCTCCATAATTAGATCTGCTGGGAGAGCTCTCCAAAAAAGGATCTGGCTTCCCTTTATAAATTCTGTATTTGGAAGCACTTCACCTCCTCATTGACACGACCATTAACCATTTCTGCGGGCTGTGTAGTGATTCAGACTAATCACCAGCTATAATGCACTGCAAACTATTGTTTGGCAACATGAAATATTATGTTAATTAATACAGCAAGAACAAATCAGGAGCCCATTAGTTGATTTCACATTTAAATCAATTGCGCATCGTTTCAGGCTCATTAAAGGTCACGCGTTGTCTTTCTAGGCTGATGTACTCCAGGAAATGCTGCAGCTCCCAGAGTTTGCAGAATGTTTCTTCAGCCATCACCTCAAAGTCCCTGCTGCCACATCATTTCTCTTGCTTTCCTCTTACAATGCATGAAGAGACATTGGTTTTTATTTGCTACTTTTTGTCACCAAAGGGAGACACCTTTATCTTCACCAAAGGACATGTGAGCTGAACTTTATACTCAGTTCTAGGCGGGTTACTCATTAGTCTTAAGTGCTAAAAGCTGAAGGGTTAGCTCCAACAGAACTGCTTAAACTGACTCAATGTTGCCCCCTAGTGACCAAATTTGCTTATCTGAAGTTATTTTAAGGTTTTCAGTATAAAAATCTTAAACTCAGATATTACCAAAAAAGGATGTAATGTTTACTGAAGGAGTATAATATACAAGTTGTATTTTTTGAATGAAGTTAAATGAATTAACTTTTTATTACCGTATATGACATATGTTATCGCTGGTTAGTTTTCATATTCAACATGTAAATGCTCAGGTTCTCTGCAGTTACTTCAGGTTTCTCTCTGTCCAAAAACAGAACTGAGGGGTTAATGGATGTTTACAGTTTAATTTGCCCATGGCCCTGCAGATGGGTACCAGCCCCCCTGCAAAGACGAGCCAAATCTACAGTAAAAATCCTTTTGAATTAACCCAACATTCAAATTTATCAAGATGTGGCTGTAAAGTGCATCTAGAAAATCTTTAGTGGAAAAATTTGAAACAGTAAATTAATGTTTTTTTTTTTTTCTTTATTCAGTCACTTTAGACTTAAGTCACTAACTTTTATTTGCAAATAGGGTTGACTTGATATATTATTTCAACAAAAAAATGAGCCCTATGGCAGATAGCACATTTAAAAAGAAGTCAAAGACATTTACAGACAAAAATAATTTGAGACACCAGAAAAAGTGCAACTGAAATGTGGCGACATCTGGTTTGACAGATGTTAGCGACAGCAGGAGGGAAGAGGTTTGCAGCCACATCTTTGACCTCTCGCAGCCCTGTCAGCTGAAGGTTAGGGGAAAGGCTGCGGATCCCCTGCGGGACGTGACGAAGTGAGGCGGGGGGGGGAGATGGCTGCACAGTTCAGAGTGCGGCTGGGATTATGGCCTCAACCTTAGATGGAGATGACAGGATCCTTCCCATCAGCTGGGAATGGCAGACAGACGCAGCGCCTGCAGCCAGCCTCGGGGTAAAGAACACCGTGGAGCTGAGACTGCCAATAGCTTCAAGAAATGTATATTCCTCTCCAAGTCACGGCTCTCTAAATGGGACTTTTCATTACTGCATTACAATTCTTGGCTTCTGAAAAAAATAGTATTTCAATTTTTTATAACAAATGGGAATTCAATAATCTAAATTGCATAACATTTACCCATTTTCCTTTATTTTAGCTAAGGTGAAAAGGCAAGTACCGGTAGCACCAATAACTGCAGTTTTTAGCTCCGACATGTGACCTCAATGCTCTAACATCTAAAGGTCAAAGGATGACTCATTAATGTTGGTCAACATGTTTCTGCTTTTTTGGGGAATTTGACAGCATTAAAGGTAAGTTCTGACCTACATTGGGATTTCTGTTTGTATTTAGGGTTTCTTTGAAGGAAATGAAAAAGCTTTAGACCCTGCAGAAGCCTGGTATTTGAAGAATAGTTATATATAATGGGAAAAAAGATGTTCAGAGACTTTTACAGTGTTTAATATCTTTATGACATACTGACAATGATCATCTGAGTCGATTAATCCAATTTGATTATTAAAAGAATAAAGTAATGTAATGTTTATGATAGAGAAAAGTAAAAACTGTTTTATGGTCACATTTCAGGCATATAGAGCCGTGACTCGTCTGGCAGAAAGTTATCAATCTATGATTATATTTTTGGGTTTTTTCTTATGCCTTAAAGAAAAGTAAACTAGATCCAGTATACAGATCTTTGTTTTGTTTTTGTTTTTTTGCAAGTTTTAATTTTTCAAAAAAAAAAATGATATCTTTCCAAATACCAGATAAAAACCTTATCACAGCCTCTACAGTGTGAAGAGTTGTTCCTATTTTCATACGTGCTCAATCTGATCTAAATCAGGAAAAGGAGCGTTTAAGACTAGCTCCTTTGATGTATGTTGCCACTGATATTAATTCATATTAATTAATGACCCCAAAGTTATGACTGGTCCCTGATAGAGTATACTCCCACCCCAAAAATGATCAACCTCACATATTCACAGTAACCCCATCCATAGACATATATACCAATATATCTGCTGTTTGGTAAACATGAGGTAACGGTCTCCTGGCTAATCTACTGCATATGTTTGCTACAAGCTCAAGAATGGTCAACACGATCTGGGACCCTGCACACTTTTCTAATCTTCAAAGAGGGAGAGGGAAATCAGCAGACTATCTACAAGTACGTACTGAGGACAGGAGGGGAGGAGTCGTCCTTCATGATTAATGAGAACGGTGGGCACTCATGGAAACAGCTTGAGGATTGAGCAAAAAAAACTACATCAGACTGATTGGTACAAAAAAAAAAAAAGATATGTTAATGATCAATATTTTTCCCCCAGTTTAAAATAAAACAGAAACAAGAAATGAAATTATTCAGCCCGGGCTGCAAATAAAGCTTGAAAATTGCACTCTGATGTGGCACCAGTCCCAGCCCCCCTCCACAGTCATTCGGGATATTTACATTCACTAGTTGAGTCCAGGAGGAGAACAGAGAGAAATGAAAGCGCTTACAAAGCAGAACAACAGAGATTTTATATCTGATTGCAGATGCTCAGCTTTATCTGATGAGAAATACTTGCAGTCTTTCCCAGATATGAAACGGCTTCAAATTCACCACGTTTGTGCTGCGAGCCCTCAGATCTAGAGCAGCTGTTGTCTGCCCCCTGCAGTCCAGTTAGCCCTGTTACAGTGGACCCTGTTGCTCCGAATTCAGCTCAACAACTCAGGGAGACCCAGACTGCAGTTCTTGGTCTCGCTACTCTGATGTGTGTTCACTGTTTTCACTGTGGTTGGCTCTTAGCGTAGTTTGAGCTTGAAGGCGGAGATCTCCATGGGGTCCAGGCTGATGGTGGAGTCATTGGCCAAAGGCATGCTGGAATGCATCAGGGTCAGGGACATGGGCTGGAGCAGCTGCAGGTCCAGGTTCTTGAAAAGACTCCATATACCCAGCTGCAAAGAGAGGAGAAGATAAATAAGGAGATTTAAGGGCCTAGACTGAAACGGTCTATGGCCAGTGGAGGGGAGAGACTCTCTTCCAGTTGGTTAAATTAGTGAGCAGTAGATTAAAGTAACTGCCTAATATCAACTGCAAACTCTCCCTGTTGAGGTTAACAGAGATAAAACCGAAAGTTTTATGTGAGAGCAGCAACAGTTTAGCAAGAGCTGCAGTAAAAGCTTTCACACATTTGGGTTATAAAAATAGAAACATGTGGGCTAACAAATGCTTTTGAGTAGAGATCAAAATGATTGCAGGTCCACTAGAGTGCTGGCTTTTTTTGGTTTTGTTTTTTGGTTGGGGGGGGGGGGGTATTAAAATTTGTTCAAAAGATAAAGCTAGTTCAGTGATACACTAAACTAGTCACACGTTTATTTTAATAGAACATATATATATATATATATATATATATATATATATATATGTTATTTTTGTTATTATTTATATATTTCTGTTTTTTATTGCTTTATTGACTGCTTAATGTTATATAAAATGGGGTTATTATAAAAAAAAAAACCTGATTGCTGGGACTGTAACTACAGGTGCTGGTCATAAAATTAGAATATCATGAAAAAGTAGATTGATTTCAGTAATTCCATTTAAAAAGTGAAACTTGTATATTATATTCATACATTACATACAAACTCATATATTTCAGATGTTTATTTTGTTTAATTTTGATGATTACAAATGACAACAAATGAAAATCTCAAATTCATCATATCAGAAAATTAGAATATTGTGAAAAGGTTCAAAATTGATGGCCCCTGGTGCCACACTCTAATCAGCTAATTAACTCAAACCACCTGCAAAAGCCTTTAAATGGTCTTTCAGTCTAGTTCTATAGGCTACACAATCATGGGGAAGACTGCTGACTTGACAGTTGTCCAAAAGACGACCATCGACACGTTGCACAAGGAGGGCAAGACACAAAAGGTCATCGCTAAAGAGGCTGGCTGTTCACAGAGCTCAGTGTCCAAGCACATTAATAGAGAGGCGAAGGGAAGGAAAAGATGTGGTCGAAAAAAGTGTACAAGCAAGAGAGATAACCGCACCCTGGAGAGGATTGTGAAACAAAACCCATTCAAAAATGTGGGGGAGATTCACAAAGAGTGGACTGCAGCTGGAGTGAGTGCTTCAAGAACCACCACACACAGACGTATGAAAGACATGGGTTTCTGCTGTCGCATTCCTTGTGTCAAGCCACTCTTGAACCACAGACAGCGTCAGAAGCGTCTTGCCTGGGCTAAAGAGAAACAGGACTGGACTGCTGGTGAGTGGTCCAAAGTCATGTTCTCTGATGAAAGTAAATTTTGCATTTCCTTTGGAAATCAAGGTCCCAGAGTCTGGAGGAAAAGAAGAGAGGCACTTCATCCACGTTGCTTGAAGTCCAGTGTAAAGTTTCCACAGTCAGTGATGGTTTGGGGTGCCATGTCATCTGCTGGTGTTGGTCCATTGTGTTTTCTGAGGTCCAGGGTCAACGCAGCCACATACCAGGAAGTTTTAGAGCACTTCATGCTTCCTGCAGCTGACCAACTTTTTGGAGATGCAGATTTCATTTTCCAACAGGACTTGGCACCTGCACACAGTGCCAAAGCTACCAGTACCTGGTTGAAGGACCATGGTATCCCTGTTCTTAATTGGCCAGCAAACTCTCCTGACCTTAACCCCATAGAAAATCTATGGGGTATTGTGAAGAAGAAGATGCAATACACCAGACCCAACAATTCAGAAGAGCTAAAAGCCACTATTAGAGCAACCTGGGCTATCATAACACCTGAGCAGTGCCACAGACTGATCGACTCCATGCCACGCCGCATTGCTGCAGTAATACAGGCCAAAGGAGGCCCAACTAAATACTGAGTGCTGTACATGCTCATACTTTTCATGTTCATACTTTTCAGTTGGCCAACATTTCTATAAATCCTTTGTTTTTATTGGTCTTCAGTAATATTCTAATTTTCTGATATGATGAATTTGAGATTTTCATTTGTTGTCATTTGTAATCATCAAAATTAAACAAAATAAACATCTGAAATATATGAGTTTGTATGTAATGTATGAATATAATATACAAGTTTCACTTTTTAAATGGAATTACTGAAATCAATCTACTTTTTCATGATATTCTAATTTTATGACCAGCACCTGTATACAGTCGTATGTTTATATTATCACTGCTACTTACCTTTATCAAGGCTGCACTTTTAAAAAAATGAAAAAGTCTAGAGAGCTGTACTGAACGAAATTTCTTTTTATTTACACTTGTGTGTACAAAATGACAAATAACATGTGTCTAAGTCTATTGTTGCATCCATGTTCCATTGGTTCAGATATTTCTATAGGAAATGAGGGCTGTAGTTTGAATTTATTGTGAATTTGCTCCAATGCAAACAGCATAAGTTACCGGTATGCTTTTTTAAGATTTAAAACATACTTTTTTTAAAAGGCAGCAATTGTAAATAACAGCAAACTATAGACAATTAAATGCAATTCAAGAAAAACCCTTCAACATTTCCAAGGCTCTAGGACTGTTCTTGCCTTTCCAGTCTTTTACAGAATCTCCCATATATACGGAAGAGGTAAATAAAAGCCCTTTTTTCTAACAGTTCTGTGCAGGAAAATGGAGCAGAGCATAAAAAATAATATATTTACACTACATATGTTTCTAATTCTGTGAGTTCACACTCAGATAATCATAAAACCTTTTAGATTATTAATTATTTTAAGTATTTCATTGGTGAGAGATATTAAATTAGCAGACGTCATCTGACCTCTTTTGATCTGGACTAAACTTATATCCCCATACATTCCTTAATTTTGGTGGATGCAATAAATTTCATTCTCGATATCATCAAAACAAAGGCCTCCGAAAGACTGCAGAGAATGCCCACAACAGACACCCCTTTATGAACCTAGAACATAACATGAAAATAAAAACACATAAAAGCAATAAAACCTGGAATCTCAGTTGGTGATGAAAGCTGTATTCATAGGCTAGCATGTATATTGAAATATCAGAAATGTGTCACATTACTGATGCTGAATTCAATTAAATGGTGATTTATACTAATATTAAAATATATTGAAATACGCCCTACAAAGCGTACGCCTCCAGTACTCACCCGTCCCTGTGTTGTGGTGCAGTTGAAGCCGAGATTTTGACCCTCAAAGCCACAGTCCATCGCCAGACGGTGCAAGATCAGCGCTGTGTAAGGAGACGGCGACTGGGGGTCTTTCTGCTCACATAAACACAGACACCAAGATCTTCAAAATGCACAGAATGTCTAAAACCCAAAAGCCTGACAAACTCTCCTCCCAACCTGACTCTGGATGGTGCGCAGGTTAAGCAGATGGACGTCGCAGGGAAGGGCAGACTTGAGCGGAGCGAAGGTTTGAAGAGGAGGAACCCCGCGTCTTTTGGGCAGAACAGGCAGCGCCAGGACCTGGTGGTTGAGCAGGGTGCTGGTTGCCTGGCTGACGACAGACGGGAAGCTAGTTGTTGCGCTGTCCATCATCTGGAGGAGAGATGCAGGGATTTAAATGAGTGGGAAATAACAGTGTGCCCATCACGACATCAATGACTCACCTCTAGAGATGCCGCTGGGCTATTACATGAGCAACGAGCTGTAATCAGCCTGGCAGAAGAGGAGGAACGGTTCTAATTCTAGTCACGGCACACGCAGCACTAATCACACCTTTGTGATGTCAGATTTCAAATTAAAGAGTATTAAGGTGTTTCAGGATGTGATGTACTGCAACGGGCGAGTGTAACTCATCCTTACAACCATCAGCAGGGTGATACTACTACAACCAAAGCTTTCAATCCTCCTCTAATGTGGATTCATTTACATGACAAATCATCTCATTACTTTTCTCGCCCGTTCTGTCATAACGATGTTTAACTACAGCTACGGGGTAGAAGGAGGGCGATTTCAGCTCAAGCTACAACTACAGGTACTGCTAAGAACCAGATTGAAAAAGCATCCTCGCTGTTGCCTTGGCAACATTACCTCGCCAACTCCACCACTTGGGATTTGAGAGAAGAAAGAGCGCAACAAGGACGAGAGTTTGGCAAAGAAGCCATCATGCTGAGGGTAATGGAGTGGAAAAAAAGCAAAGAGGGAAAACAAAATTAGCAAGTGAGGAGGAAAGCAAAAAGACAGATGGAGAGGTAATGAGTAGTTTGAGAAAAAAAAAAGAAAGCATAGAGAAAGGTTTTCTTCAGCGACAGAAAGGAGAAGTAATCTGTGGTAAATTAAACACCTTGCAGAGAGTCATTTAACAGTGATCCTCGTCTGATTAGATGGGATTTAACAGTAATTGTGCAGATTTAAAATGACTGGAATAGCAACCTTGTTATTTATGGATCTCCTCTCCAACAGCAAGCGAAAACGATTCACCGTCTTCTTGTTGTCTTTGAGACCCTGACCCAGGCCTCGATTATCATCCTGCATCAGTCGCCGATCCATAATCACTTCCAGCTGACCTGAGGGGAAGCCCAACAGAGACAACAGCTTCAAACATGAACTAAGAGGCATCAGTCGATAAGCACAAGCAATTTCAATGGCTCTTAATTTACAAACATTTCATTACGATCTTAAAGATGATAGAGAGATAGCTCAGTTTACAAGATCAGAGTATGAGCTCTTTTCTTCTTTGAGTACCTCTTGGGAAGAAGATAAGAGATGCCAATAGATGTATAGACATCAGAAAAAGAAAAAAAAAATGCTACAAGCTTTTGGGACTTCCACTGAAAAGAAAAATAAATAAATAAACATTGTATGGCTATAAATGAGCAACAGACCGCTCTCCAAGCTGGAGACACCGAGAGACTGAGCCGTGTGCAGCGTGAGGCGGTGATGGCTGTCCTGGATGTACGCCTGGCTGGGCATCGGATAAAAGTTGGCTTGCAAGGGAAGCTTTTGGTAGAATCGACGGGGCTGGATCTAGAATAGGATGCAACAGAATACATGAATCCTTTATTGTCTCACGGGAGGAAATGCAGGTGCATCAGCAATAAGAAAGAGAAATGTTTAAAGCACAGGAAGAAAAATACTGTTAAACAGTTATTCAGAAGGCATAATGCTACTGACCTGGAAGCCATTGAGGTCTGTGTAGAAGACGTCTCCACTCTGGATGTTGGTGACCAGTCGCATGGCCAGCTCCTTATTGGTCTGATCCCTGATATCGACCAATGTAGTGATGTCTACAGACAAACCATCCACCCCTGCAAATACAGAGTGATAAAGCAGAACAAAACTAGTACCACAAATAAAGAAACAAGAAATATGAGATCAAAATTCCTCTAACAATGCATCTCGAGAAGTTAGAATATCATCAAAAACATTTATATAAATAATTTATGTAAATCTCATCATCAAGGGGAATTTTTTTTTTTTTTTTTTTTTTTTTACTTTGGGCCCTTGATTTGATATTATTACATCATGTTCTACTCACCCATGACGTCATACACACGCCGCTTTGTTTTTAAAAATAGAAATACCAAAAATATAACCGCAGATGTCTGGGGGACAGTGCTTCGCCTACATGTTATGAATGCTGGCGTACCATAAATGATCAATTATGAACAGTTTAGTTTGTGCCTTTAACTCGTTGCCCATAGGAAGACGTTACCTGGATATAACCTAACGGAATATCTTCAGAAACAGCTCCAAATGACACAAAACTCATATGGGTGAGTAGAACATGATGTAATAACGTAAAATCAAGGGCCAAATGTAAAAAAAAATTGCGTTCCCCTTTAACTACAAATGAGGATTATTTCATTTTTTGCTCATTAAGACAACTATGGCATTGACATGACGTGTGCTGTGAATTGGCGCTAAATAAATAAACTCAATTGAACTGAACTGAAATTGAATTAAATTTAGAAAATAATAATTTACAGGGAGATTGATCCTTTAAGGATAACAGACAAATGTTTGTTTGTGGCCACAGATGGCACACAGACAGATTCTTTCAAGATGGACAAACCACACATTTTCATCGCTTAAGAGACTGGAAGTTTGAAACAAATGTGATGTCATATCACTGGAAAGTTGAAAATACATAGTGTACTTGGTTCAACTGGGATAAAGACAATGTTAAAAAGATTGTGATATTTAAAAAAAAAAACAAACAAAAAAACATTCAAGAGTTTAAGGATATAACATGATTGGATAAAAGCCCCTTTGATGTTAAGGGTTTTGTCTGGAAAACTAAGGGACACACCAAACCCACTAGTGTTGGTGAGCTTAAGGTCACCATAAAAGCCACACTGCTGGTACAGACTGTATAACTGGGGTGTTCATTAGCTGATAGGCAGCATCATTAAAATAAACATAAAAAAGTAAGGCACCTTTATTTACTGAGCACATTTCAGCAGCAGGATAATTTAAAAAGTTACCTTATTAAAATTGGTAATAATGACTCCAGTTAATGGGTGGAAAACAATAAATGCTTTTTTATTATTATTTATTTTATTTTTTTAAACAAACACTCCAGTTTACTTTGGGCTAGCTAGTTTAAAATGAGCCAAAGGAAAACAAAACAGAAAAAGAATATTCTGAGCTGCATTTCAAATGCCAGATTCTGTGCGTATTACCTGGCACGTTGTGTATGCGGACGGTCTGCTCAAAGTGCTGGTACTGTGCCACCACTTCAGAGAAAAGAGGCCCTTCCACAACACGCACTGCAGGGGGCTCTTTCTGGTTGTAGGGCTGAAAACAGAGAGCAGTCAGACAAGATGCGCTAAAAATGAAACACAACAGGCAGCAAAACGGAGTTCAGATCTCAACCTTTAAAGTTTGTTCCTTAAATCTAGTCTGCCTGTATTCCTGCCCTGAGCTTCCCAGCAGGATAAAATGAGATGATACCCATGGGGGACTCTCATCAAAGCCTTTTGAGAGGAACGCTAACATGTGAGATGCAACCAAGAGAATACCTTTGCTTTTCCATCTGGCAGGAAGAGGTAAGCTCCACTTTTGTCTTTTGACAGACGTGTGCCGTAGATTATGAACTGCATCTGAACCTTAACCTCCTCTGGATCATCTTTACGCTTGATGCTCTTCAGATGAAAAAGGAACACAAATGAAGAAAAAGCAAAAAAGAAGACAGAAGATGAGATGCATTTTAGCAACAAGGCAAGTCCCTTTGATTTGGCAGCTCTAGTGTATTTACAAACCAAATTTGTGGCTATTTTTTCCCCCAATCAGAAAATAAAGTAAAGGTCATTAAATATTTGATATAGATTCAAAATCAAGTCAGCAGAAAAAAACAAATGAATAAACACAAACCTCCAGAAGGCCAGTGATTCCAGAGAAACCCAGAGTCAGAGTCTGAGTACTAATATAAAAGGTCTGAGAGTCAGCCGGCTGAGAGCGGACAGGAAGAGGGTCCAAAGCCCGAGCAGAGACGCCACGTCCCGACAGCCTCAGCAGGGTGTCAGAGCGAATCGTCATGGGCGAGTCAGCAGAGTCATAAAGGTGGAAAACAGCCAAACCGAGGGGTGGAAGACGAACCATGAATGTTGCCTGGGAAGAATGAAGAAAGATTTTAACGTTTTCAATATATAAACTTGCTTACTGTCAATCATGAGGCTCTAATAAGGAATTTTTTTATACCCGTTAATTTGCAACAAACTGGTTCATTTCCCCTTTAGTGTCGACGAGGACATGATAATGGCACTAGCACAGCTCTAACCAAACTCTGGAGCAGTTTGCTTACGGTGCGAAAGGGATCACACCTCATTAACGCAGCTACTGGGTAAATGCTAGCCTGGGTGCCATTACGAACTTAGTCCCGCCCACAACGTTTGAGGTCGGGAAGTTTGGTCTGGCATTGCTCAGTAGTAGCGCGAGTATGCTCGCACAATATCTGGCGGGCCAATCAAATTGTCAGGGCGGGCTTTATACGATGATGGATAGATGATCAACAGTAACGTAATCAACCACGTGACCAAAGCGTGCATGGGTGACAACAACAATGGCTGCCGCCGGAGAGTTGAGGTGAGTAGATTCTGCTATTAGGTCTGTTCTAGAAGATATCGACAGCAATTTAGTTTTAAAAGAGGAACAGAGAAACGCGATCAAGGCTCATCTTCTTATTCTAGGCGTGCAACTGCACGCTTTGATTTTTGTTAAAAACAACTGTGCCTGGCTTAACATACGTCACACACTCCGTTGCTCTTATTGGTTGTAGGTCTATCCAATTGAGTGCAGAGGCATTTTTTTTTCCTGGTTCGTTCGAAACACGCCCCATAATCACAGCTCTATGGAGCAGTATCAGACTCATATTCTGACTAGAATTGAGTCGGACTACGTCAGGCTAGGTAAATGCTGCCAGTTCGGTAAAACACCTTCTCGTAGCTAAGTCTGTGTTGCATTGTGGGATTCTCTAGAGTAAACAAACTAATAAAGAAAGTCTCCATGTCTTTTTTTAAAGTCTGATGCAACTTTAAATTCATCTTCTCAAAATAATAATTATACTTCTCAGAAATTCTTACCTAAAATAGTACCCAGAGAAAAATTATAGACTGAAACTGTGTTGTTGTTTTTTTTTTTGCTTCACTCAAACAGCATCTGCTTTCTACATTTTACTGTTAGTAATCATGTCCCTGACAAACTGACCAATGAAAAGACCCTTTGTACTTAGCAACAGGCTAACACCTTCTCAATCTTCTAAGCTTCTCAAAAATCACAAATCAATATATTCCAGACATTTTTCTAATATTCTTACTGTTTGAACAGAAAACATGAATCTTGAAAACAAGCAATGAGCTTTTATTTTCTGTAGTTTCATGACTTGTACATATAAAATACTGACATAAACTCTGGATTTAGTTATGTGGTAGGTAGGAACTCTAGGCCTGGTTTGGATTCTTTGCAATATAAAATCATTTAGACTAGTTCAAACTACATAATTTTTACTTAGAATTAGGCTTTCACATCCCCAGCTTACAAGGTGCTCAGTTTGATATTAGCACTCAAGAAATAGAGCCTCTATCAAAAGCTTAAATTAAAAAAAAAAAAATAAAGTCAACTTTCTAGTGCATAAAACACTAAACTTCAATAGTGATGACAGGCCTAAAGAATTCACTTCCAATAATTTTATCACTATTAATTTCTTTACAGTCCAATCTTTGCAAAGACAAACATGTAGGTATGTTAAACAGCACCACAAGTTTCAGGGTTAAAGTATTTTTTTGATTAGTCAAAAAAGACCAACATATCGCCGATCCGTCACCAGCCGACAGAACAGAGGAAATTACTGTTTTTTTCAGTAGGTGGAGGCAGACTCATGTGGAGCAGCAGCCAATCAAAAGGATTATAGCTTTTTAAAAACTGTGGAGTTTAGTTTATGATTATTTCAATCTAAAATAAACACAAAAGGAAAAAAAAAGTACAGTCAAATGTCAGATCAACACCAGAACAACAGAAACTGACAGCCTCTTTATCTTCCAGCAGTTTATGCTCACAGCTACACCCGCAGCTCAGTCAGTCCCTTAAAACCTTAATGTGATCTTAATAGATCTTCTACTGAAAGTTTTGTTTCCAGTGTTGTTGGAGCAGCTCATTAGGATGGCAAACCTTCACAACCACTATTCAAACAGCTTTAAAAACAGGAAGTCTGTTTGTAGCAACACTGGAATAAAAGTTAGAACTTTTTTTTTTTAGTTAAACTTTTCCCATGCTCTATGTTCCTACAGAACACCACAGAATGAAAGTGGGAGAGAATAACTTCAACCAGATGAGACATTTATCACAATGTTAAGTTTGCTCTCAAGGAATCAGAAAGGAAAACCAGTCTTTTTATAAACAGGATTAAGCAGTGCCTCAAATCCTAGTAATGGTAAAGGAAAATAACCAGATGAAGAAGGATTCTGTGACAAAGTGACAAATCCCTTTTATCTCTAACCTTGTCAACTTTTTGAGGAAAAAAGATGTTTTTAGACTGAAAAAAAGAATACATTTATTTAAAAAAGTTGGAGTTTTATTTACCACGGATGTTGAGATTGATGTCAGCAAATGTAAAAGTGAAAGCTATAACTTTAAGGCAAATGTCTTAATGGCTGTAAATAAAATATAATTTCATTCAAGAAAGATTTCATCTTTAAAAAAAAAAAAAAAAAAAAAAAAGCATGTAGCCATTTTCAGACCAGTGGCTCAATCAATTATTCATCTTACCTCAAATACCTCAGCACTCATTTGAGTAGCAGAGCTCCACTGAGCGCTCAGCTGCACAGGGAGAGTCTGTCCGTCCTCAGTGAGCACCCGCACCCGGACTGTGTTCACCAACACTGTGATGGCGCAGAGTCGCTCCTGCTCAATGGGGTTGAACAGAACCAAGTATCTGGTAAAAAGTAATGAGAAAGAAAAAAGTTAGACAATCAAGACGAGGAAGAAAAAACAGATGTGAGGGACTGAGCATCCTACCTTGGTCCTGCTGGGTCCAGCTCGATTAAGGTCTGCTGAGGCTGAGAGTCCTGAGTCGCACGCCTGTCATCCTACAGAATCAAAAAATGATGCATTCAGATTATTATTGGTCTGTTTTTGTTCTGCTAATGATTATATAACTCAACAAGTCAGTCCCCTCACCGTCTCCAGGAAGGGCTCTGTCTGGTAAAAACGATAGAACTCTTTGTTCTTCATCACTAGGAAATGAGCAGCATTGATAATAACTCTCTTCAGACCGATGAGTGCACGCAGCAATCTAGTGGGGGAGGGGGGACCATAATTCAATAAAACACTGTGGTTCCAGACTAGACAAACAAAGACCTTCCACAGCCCTCATGATCTTACTTGGTGCCATAGTCGATTACCACATTTTCCTTCGCAGTGCCAGTGATGGCATCATGATGCTGGAAGAGGCCAACCGACCGTCTTGCATCCACCAGCAGGGCGTAATCAGTCACCGGGTAGCGTCCCTCCATACCAGCATGACGAGCGTTTGCAACCGCCAGGCTGTACAGAATCTCTGCCCCTCTGAAAAACCACAAGATGAGTCTTTGAGGTTCAGCCATGCTAACACCATTTACAGTTTTATGGCGTCCTTTTAACAGACCTCCATTAACAAGAGAGTTTTTGTTGGGTTTTAAATCCAGAGAAATGTGAGTTTAAAAGATTAAGAGGACGAAATGATCAAACACAGACTGGGATTTTGAAACGTCAACCTCTGCAAAGGGGAGAGAAGCTGCTGGCTCAAAACCAGCACTCTTTCTCTCAGATACCTTCACAGCAAAGCCTTTTATTAACAGTTTACAACTTAATAGGGAGGGCCTTTAACAGAAAACTCAGTAATGATTATCTGGCAGGATGCAGGTCATAGGACAGTGTGAAATGACCATCTGGCTGGATGGAAGTCACACAACCGTGTGACTCTGCCTCATGACCTACTGGATGCAGGTCATAAAAGTTTATGACTCTCCTGAGTTTTATGTTAAAAACTCCCTATCGTACTGAAAATGGTATCAAATATGAATATTTTTTGTATCTAGTTTTAAACTTAACAGGACAAACAACAATGATGCTGGATAGATGGAGGATCCACATTTAGGAAGGATGGACAACAGAGGTTGAGTGTCAATAAATAACTAAAAGGAACAGATAACAGACCAATGGATGGAAGAATGAATGATTAGTAAATGATGTGTTAATAAAATAAAAGTATGAAGAGATTTACATATTAATAAATAAACGGTTGGCCAGACAGAAACAACCATCATTTATAAACGGGATAAGAATTAAAATCTGAAAGCTTGTTGTTTCAAGGCTCATGGAAACCTTTTAATTACCGTTTAATAGCAGCTCAATGTTGATAAACTGTCAGAAAAAATCCCTCACCTGAGATGGGACTCAATCACACGGTCCAAGCTTTTATAAAAGGGTCTAGAGGTGAAATAACCGGTCCAGTAGTGATCCTCACGGTCTGCATAGGCAAAGAAATCCCCACTGAGCACAGGAAAGTCACTGGGTCTGGATCCCTGGGGAACTCCATAGGCTTTGTAGAGAGCATCGAAGTAATCGGAGAGAGTCCCAAATTGAGCCTGGAGGAGGCAGACAGAATGACAGGGGGGACAAAAAAAATCCTCACTCTTACAAAGCTACACAAAAGAGAAGTCTTTTGTTTTCATGTGAGGGATTCTTATAAAAGCAGGCGTGAAGTCATGACAGATTCTTTGTTCAGGCAGCGAGTTAAAGCACAGCTGTATAATTTAGTCTACAGAAAAACATCTCATGCTGAGCGTCTAAAAATAAATCAATAACTAAAATATGATTTGTGGGCATCTAATAGTCCTTTTCTCACCTGAACATGAAGCTCGGGCTGAGAGTTCATGTAATCGAAAAGCTTCTGGTAATTGATATACTGCTGATCCCACTCCAGGGCCTTGTCGTAGCGAAAGTCATCTCCTAGGGGGACCAGTAGCACCTTGCTGCGGTACAGTTTAGACTTTTTCCGGTATTGATCAAGAAGCAACTGTGCTCTGTGAAAAAAAAAGGAGGATGATGAGAGAGAGAAAGGATAAAACACGCTTTCATGTCCTGAAAAAGAGCATTGTCTAAAAGCTGCATAATGTGGCCACGAAGCGATAAGCACACGGTGTCCACCTCCTGCAGTTTATTCCTTCTCCCTGGCTCAAGTTCAACTTGAGTTTATTAAGGGGCTATTACAGAAAACATTCCACTGATAAATTTGCTGTGGTTGCTGCTGGAGTTGAATACAAATAGGATAGAAAAAAACACAAAATACGTTCAAATAGAGAGATTAGACTCTAGCCAAACCTGGATCTTTCACATTCACAGTAAACAACTTCATCATCCAATACGTTTGTTCATAGTCAAGTCAAAGGTTTTTAAGGTTAACAAAGCATTATCCAACATACCATTTTATCATGTTCAGCCTCCCCAAATAACTTCTCACCTTTCTGCTACGTTGGCCTCTACCACAGATTTGGGAGGCACTTTCCAGGGACAGTTGATCCGACCTCCTGGTAACCTCTTGAAGTCAAACTGGCAGCAGATCTTGGGATCAGGCCCGCAGGTGTGAGGCACGTCGTAGCTATAGAAGGGCATCATGTGGCAAAACATGTCTGTACTGGATCCAGTGTCTGACAGAGCAACAAAAAGACTGAATTTAAAAAAAAATCTCTATTTGATAGGATTGAGATTCTATGTGATGCAATGATCAAAAAGGCACAAAACTAAAGTGGAAGAAAAATAATACTGGGTATAAAAATGCTTTACATGTGAAAAGCTGTAAAGTCTGGCATGCTTTTGTATATAGCCATCATTGAACACATAAAATAAAAAAATAAAATAATAAACAGAGCCATCAATTCCCTAAAGACGTCACTTAAATGGCGATGTGTGAATTGGTGTCGGCAATTAAACAGCTGCAAAGCCAAAGTCTATTAAAAACAGGCTCAGTTTCTGATGGATTAGAGGGCAACAAACATGGAAGAAGACATTCTGGTCAGATATGAGTCAGAAATATAACTCTTCAGGAAACCCTTTTAAAACATGATATTATTGCCATCATGCTGTTTAGAGAGACAACAGACTGGTTTGTTAGAGGCTAAAAAGACTTGAGGTACACCTCCCAGCTAAACCACCAATCCAAACATACAGGCACACCTTTAAATATGTCAATGTGGCCTGAGAAAAATAAAATAAAATAAAATGGGTCCGAAGTACAACCAAGTAAAAAATGTGTTGGTAATGTGACTTGGTAAAGATTAACCCAAAACAGTGCAGATACAATTGCAAATCAAAATTTGTTGTTTAATAAACCTTCTTAGGGAGCTAAATCCAAATAAGCACAAAACTCCTAACAATTTTAATTATAATTGTTTTAAAACATGTTAAAATATTTTTTTTCTTCCACCGCCTCAATTCTGTGTTAGACGGCCCCCATAAGATCCCCATAAAATACATTCAGCTTAAAGCTGTAATATAATCAAATCTTAAAAAGGTTCTCAGGGTATGAATGCTTTTAAAAAAGCACTTTAGATTAACTGCTAACATCTTAACAAAAGCATGTTTTCCCTTCAGCGTTACTGCATGCAAATTTATGAGCTTGGGGTTTCTAAGTGTTGTCTGGGGTTGAACATTAAAACGACTAAATGAACCCTCATAAGTACTAAAAACACATTTACTACATCTTACACTGATGATATTCCTAGTAGGAAAAAAATAGAGCACTAGGATCATTGGCAGCCATTCAATGCTTTCTCAAATGATAATAAAAACAACTATGAATTACAGTCTGTGCTTTCAAGAAAATCCACTTTTTAAAATACCACAGCAAGCGTTTGGGCTCATCCTTAAAGGAGCCTGAAGATGAGCACTAAAAATCAGAGGACCTTGCTGGCACCGATCCACTCACCCCACGCCTGCCTCCACATAAACTCCAGGCTTCTGGTGGATGCAAAGTGTTTTTTAATGGAGTAGTGGACCCTTTGGATTAGCATGCTGGTCAGGTTGGCCCTCTTCAGCAGATAGGCCATGGTGGCACTGTGGCCGAAGGGGTCCACGGCCCACCCGCTTCGAGGAGTTACACCTGTAACAGCATACAGGAAAAAATATATATATTTTAGTTGCAGGCTTGGAGAAAGACGAGGAGACATTTTATAAGAAGTCACACTCCACAGCTAGACACTGAAAGCAGCAGAAATCATTTTAACGCATGAGCAAAATGCTATCAGCTGTGGAGCCGTAACTTCACTAGCACAGCAGGGAGTGCATGTACACATACATAAAGATATATTTAATAGTTCTGCGAAACCAGAAGTTCTAAAACTCCTTTAAGATTTCAGCATCAATCGTTGACAAATAAATGGAAGCGCTTAAATGTGAAATTATTCTGTGATTGAATGTTTTACCCAGATTTCTCTCCAACCACTGATGCCCTTCAATGAGCTGATCTATCATAGCAAAGTAGTGAACGTTGGCTTCATCTGTCATCACCCAGCCTCCTGTCACAATCTCTAGCTGTCCTCCAAGGATCAGTCTGTTAAAAAGAAAGGATTAGGAGTGCGAGGTGAGAATAATCCAGCCCTAATATGAGAGAGTCTCACTGACTAGATAACAACCTATAAATAGAGCCGCTCTAATCTGCCAGCAGATACCACCCTCTGTGTAGAGCACTGAAGGCTGCAAGTGTCTGCATCAACTGGTTCTGAATTGGCAAAGCTGTGACTCACTTCCTCATGGCCTCCTGTTTGTAGACGTCTGCAGTCTCCCACCACTTGGAGAAGAAAGAAATCTCTGACCAGATGAACTTCCTGCGAGGATCCTCGGCCAGCTTCACCACCATGTTGTTTAAAATATGCTGCGTCTGGTCTGTGAAGTACTTGTCAAAAGTCTTGATCCAACCTAACAACACAGGTGGGACCAAGCAACACTCAGACAGCATAATGCAGACTCAGAAACAACAACTCTGCTATGATTTCTAAGCCAACTGAACCAAAAGAAAAAAAGAAAACACTAGTGAATGAACAAGATGTAAAAAGTGCTACAAAGAAGCCAAAATAAACCTCATATTTTATTGAAAGGGGAGCTGCTCCATGCAGAGGGTTGTGTAACTTCATTGGAAAAGCAACTCTTTCCCATTTAAATACGCAATACAAGCGTTTCACACTGTATATCAAATATTGTTTGGTGGAAATAAACGAAGTTCCTGATGTGAACAGACAATTTTCTTCAGCCTGTCAACCTGTCAATAACTGTCAGGTTAGAAAGCGGATGCCCCGGATGAGTAAACAATATAATGGAAATGTCAGTCTAAAATAAAATTTTAACCAATCATTGGCTCAAAGAGCAACGCAAAGAATACCTGAATGTTATTGTTTTGCTTATTGTTAGGGCAGGGGGGTAAGCATTTAGTCACGTCAGATTTTTATTTCGACAATAATGAAGGATACATTATAAATTATTTATGAACCTCCAACACCACTGCCCACACAAGTAAGATCAAAAGTAACAAACCTGACTTTCTCATTCCCGGCACAGACCGGTTACTGACATTATTTATAGCCAAGGTTTAAAAACGTTTTCTTTCAAAACCAGTGAAATTTTTGTCACAACTGTTCTACAGTTTAAAGTCCTTTTCATGAGAAACCAGAGAAGGTAACAGAGTAGCCAGTTCTTTGAGGCCGTGTGCAGCAGACTGAAAGAATACTTGCTTTCCTCTCCTTTACTTACAAGGAAAACACATTTTTCTATTTAAAAAAATATTCCTAATTATTTTCAATCAATCCTTCAGGGATACTAAAATTTGCATAAGTTTAATTTTGGGTTTTATAACTAGACTGACTATGAGAGATCTAGGTAACCCTAGCACGTAGGCTCATTCATGAGTTGTTATACTTAAAAGGTATAGTGGAGGATTTTCATGAATTTTTTTTTAAACGACCTGCCCTTTCCACTTAAAAAAAAAAAAAAAAAAAATGCACATGCACAACCCTGTACCTGCTTCCAAGAGGGAACACTTATTTAACTTGTGCGAGAGCATGCACAAGCCCATTTCGCTTTGTGCACGCTTTGTTTAAAAGTTGCTGTTTGCATCGATCATACAAGCTTACTTTCCAAAAGAAGATCTGCAATTTTTCCACTATGTCAGACTCACATAGTGGAAATGGGGACAAGCAAGTAGGATGGCCTTACGTAAACATATCACCGGAATGATTGATAATTAGGAGGACTACTTATTTTGATGATCCACCCGGAAAAAGAACATCTTCCACTATACCTTTAATAATCTATAAAGATCTGGAAGCAGAATAAAAGACGATATTTATAACCCATTAGTGTCCTACATTATTCTGTAAATCCTTCACTTCATATTGTAAGAATCTCATATCAGACTATGCCTAGTTAACAAAGATCCCCTTAAAAAAATACACACATCTCTTAGAAATGTCCGACATTCAACAGCACAGCTCACCTGGATCATTGTGAGAGTGAGGAACCACAAATACTTGCAGAGGTTCATTGTCCCACTCATCAGGTTCATAAGTGATATCAAAGCCCTGTTTCCACACGCCTCCATCAGGGTTGTCAAACTTGAGAAGCGAGTACACATCCAGCATCTAAAGCAAAGATAGAATTGCAAAAGTAGAATTACATTGCAATCATTTGGTGAAAGTGCTAATAATTCAAAGCAATGCTGCTTACAGTGAAACGAAAACATGTTGGAAACAACCATTTTTTGCTGCACTGTGATGTTCCTACTTTACAAAGACATCAAAATAGCAGCTGCACCTTTTGGTTTCACAAAAATAAATTCCATCCCTCATTCAATAGTGCTTCTTGCACACAGCGGTAGCTGTTTTCCAGGTAAAACTTCTCAGGAAGAGCATAAGAGTGACAGTAACAGGTTGCTTTCACATGATGTCAAACAGCAGATGACGAGCCGGTTGGATCTAATCACCACTGGGGAAAGATGGCTCTTGTATAGTATGTTGTGTTTGGTAGCAAAACATACCATGTATGATCCCAAACACTTGGCAACAACTCCATATGTACATTACACATATCCCAGCAAATAAATGCAAAATACCCACTTCAAAGCAACTACGCACGGTTAATTGATGGATATAAATATTAAATATCACAACTTCAATATTGTTATATACTGCAGCTAGAAATTGATGCTGTCCCCTTTATACACACCCTGGGTATGAATGATATATTTTCCCAGCTGAGTGGACTCTAATTTCCCTCATCTGACGCACTCCATTTAACACAAATGTATGAAAATGTGTGTCTGCTTTAATTTTTTTTTTTTTTTTTTTTTACTCTTCTTGCTTAGTTTAACTCTTATACCATTGATGTGATTTATTTATTTCCACTTAAATTGTATGACCTGCAAAAAAAATAAAAAATAAAAAATCTACATTTATGAGTTAAGCAGCAGAGTTGAGTAAGTAGGGCACAAGCCTGGAAAATTGATTAAATCCTTTCAGCAGTTAAGGCTGGAGAGATTTATAAGAATAAATGTCCTATAGAAGAATTTCCCTGGTTTTCATCAATATATTTTTTTACCATCTTATTTTGCAGAAGGGCTCATTTACCTGTACATCTGTTTGAGTACGGCTGCCAACAGCAAACTGGCAATCCTGAGGCTTCACTGCAAGAAAGGTTGGTCGACCGTCGAATGGTAGGACCCAGGAACCGTTAGCGCTTCTGAACGGCAGGTGGCCGCTGGGAGACACAGCTCCTGTGTCTGTGAGCTCCATCACAGAGTCCTTTATGTGGCTGATTATTTGGTGGTTTTCCTCCAGGAGCTGCTCCAGCTGCTCTATGCGATTCTGAAGGACTGATATTTGGCTCTAAAGGAAAACGATAAGTTAACAAAAGAGCTGCAGAATACTAATCAAACAGTAGCAAAAGCACATAAGCCCCGTAGAATAAGCTGACGGTAGAAATAATAATCAAAAGTGTAGGCATTTATATAATACACATGTATAATATCTAAAAATTTTTACAAGCTTTTTTTCTTTTTTTTACAGGAGACATTAATCCTAAAAGATGTAGAAACGTTTCATCTAATCTAAAGATGGCAAAACATTTGCAGTTGAAAAACAAAAAATAGGTGCTCCTCAATGGCTTTTGAGCAAAATATGCATGAAGCCACAGCAAAGATTCTTACCCGTGGAAAGTTTCCTCCATTCTGTCGCCTCGCAGGGTCATGCTGGACTCGGTCCAACATCAGATAGAGTGAGAACACAGCCACACAAAATATGGCCCCTCCACACACTGTCACTTGTTTCCTCAGCTTCATCCTCCTCTGAAGCGCTCTTTTTAGTCTCAGGAATTAAATAAAACAATGTCCTTGAATGGATTGTGTGTCGTTTTCTGCAGCACAGTCAAAAGGTCCAAGAGTACCGCAATTCAGTGCAAAAAAAAAAATAATAATGATGGAAACTAAACATGTATGCCAGTACAGAAGCTGTGATGCCTGCAGCCTCCACTCACCGTACTGGAGATCACAGTGACAGGAGGCTGCTGCAGCAGAGGCTGTGGAGGAGCTTCTAAAGCAGCAATCACTGGCAAAAACTCTGTCAGCTCTGGCCAAGGCACAACCACCGGTGGTCTTCTTCAAAGTGGCCCTTGTGCTCAACCATCTAAACCGATGAGATTGGAGGAGACGCAAAGAAGAAAAAAAAAAGGGTATTCACAGTTGGGGCACAAAAAGTGAGACTAGTGTCCCTGCAGCATGATTGTTGTTGTTATTGTAGACATGCTTTCTTGGTCCTGCCCCCTTTTCAAGATGGTTAAACATAAATGCTTCTCTCCTTATCGTTGCCATGGTTGTTGTTATTCTTGCCGCTTCTTCATAGCAAGACCCAGAATAGTGACCTTTGTCGGGTATTAATAGCGTTCAGATTGGATGAATGCGACCTGACGGTTCATGTACAGGTCGCATTTGAAAAGATCAGATTCGTATCGGATTCAGGACCACATAGCCAAGTGGCCTGGGTCGCATTGGAAAAAATTGGATCTGTGTTTATCAGACAGCCATGAAAAGATCAGATACAGGTTGGATATGGGCAAATAAATTGGATTTGGGTCACTTCAGGCTGCAGTGTGAACATAGCCTTAGACGTTTCCCTGCTGTGATGCACCTGATGCAGATGACTGGAGTTCAGTAGAAGCCTGTCATCCAAACAACAAGAGAAATTCAATCTTCAGAAGGAGGGGAAAAAAACGAAAGTATGCAGAATAGCAGCCCCTTAAGAAGAGATGGAGTCTAATTGGCTGAAGGGCAGGCAAACAGTAGTTATCTTTACAACAGTACCCTGTCTGCTATGATCCTGATCCCAGGTTTAGTTTCAAATAAATCCAACTGTTTTCCATTTTGAGATTTTTTTTTTATTTAAGAAAATCTTACCAGGCCCATGAACTTTTATTGGGTCATATACTCACTAATGCAGTTTTTTTTAGACTCAAAAAGATGAGAGAAAACATATGTTCATTTAAATTTATACCACCATCCCAATATTTAACATTGATTTTTGAATCATTTATTGAAACATTGTTTACATTGTTAATTAATAACTGATACATCAATGTCCAGTTTTCTTCATCGTAAGCTAAATTTATTTTTAGGGAAAACAGGAAATACATATAATTAATCCTTATACTATGATATATTAACTTGCCACTTCTGCAGATGAATTTTTTCCTTAGACATCAGGACACAAAATGTTCTAAAGGGAAATATTTTGTTGCAAATGGCTTAATGATGACAACAAAGACCTGTAGCTTTATAAAAATATCCACCTTATCCAACTAAATCACATCCATCCTTTGAACATCAAAATAACATATCGGGGTGCACTGAGAGAAGGTCGCCTCTGTAAATGTTTTACTACTCAGCTAACCTTTGAAACAAGGAGGGTTCATTTAGACCCCAGCTCCCTCATTTGGACAATATCCGTGTCAAAACAAAGCTTCATTGGGTGTCGATGACAAACAACCTCTGAGAAACTTAATATCACTTCTATGAGGCTTAAATGTGACAGCTAAACGAGCTAGCGCTAGCTTCCAGCAACCAACGTTACACGGGCTGATAAATTCAATTCAAGAGTCCCAAAAAAAATTGGTTTAAAGTTTTAAAATTGCGTTTTGATTTTGGCAAACGGGTGCCTCTCATTTTGCCAGATATGTTGGCAGTAACGGATGACATTCAGTACAAATCTGCTAACATTAAGACAATAGTAAGCTGATGATATTTTCTTGCTAACATTAAATCTTTTCTTCTATGCATTCTGGACTGAGGTTGCCGTATGGTAGCGTTTGTTCCCTTGCAGATAAAACTAAAAACAAGCCAAATCTTACCAATTAAGCTTATTCCAGGTGAGTGCAACAGCCCAGCAGCGGCTGTGTTCCTGCTTTCCGCTGAAGGATTAGTGGAGTAGCATTTAGAGCTTAGCGGTTAGCACCGCCTAGCTGCTGCAGACACTTCCGGGATGAAATGAGTTGCGTCGCTGATTGACCAATAGGCTCAGCAAATTCACCAGCTCTTTATTTCAAAGTCTGCAGTAGTTCGTTTTAAATAAAACAAAATAAAATAAAATAAAATAAATACAATTAGGGCTGCAACTAATGATTATTCTGCAAATGGATTAATCTATCGCTTATTTAATTATTAATTAATAGTCGGATAGCAAAAGGCTCCTTAAAGCAGACTTTTTTACCAAATTAATGCAGGTGAAACTAAAACGTTTCCACTTGAGTAGTTGTGGATAGAGCATACTGACAGACGAAAATAGTTTTTATCTTAAAGGCAAAATGTTTGCATGTTTTTTTTTTGTTTTTTTTTACAACTTTTGTATAATTGCTGATAAAGGTGGGTCACTCTGTCAACTAAAGACATGTTTTGCAGTCTATATACTCCACAGTTAACAATCAATAACTAAATTAGGTGATAATAATTTCAATGATCGATAATTCATGTTTTATACGATTAATTGTTTTAGGCCTAAATAGAATAGAATAGAATAGAATAGAATAGAATAGAATAGAATAGAATAGAATAGAATAGAATAGAATAGAATAGAATAGAATAGAATAGAATAGAATAGAACAGAACAGAATAGAATAGAATAGAATAGAATAGAATAGAATAGAACAGAGAAGAATAGAATAGAATAGAATAGAATAGATATTTTTCTCCACATGGCATTCAGGTTTGTCAGTACTAAAGCAAAAAAAAATGAAATCAAAGGTAGACAGAAAAAATCCATAGCTTAAAGTAGACTGTACAGCAAAGTAAAACTATGCAGATTTTAGGTAAATATATGCAAATTTAGGCAGTCATACATAAAAAACACTTGGTGGGCAGATAAACAGTACAAATAACAACATGGATCTCAAGAAAACTATGTTGTTGTTTTTTTAAAACACATTGATCAGTTTAGTGTGCCTCCTGCCCCGCTTTGTTGGTATGACTGCTGGAGTGAAGATTTTGATCAATCAGGGACCCGAATCATATCAACAACAGGGATACTGGGATTTTTCCTCAGAGCCAGCCTTCCCATCCTTTCATTCAGTGCAACTTCAACACCACTGAGTTATTATTGCCCACTAAATCTGTTATCCTCCCCACAGTGGTTTCAGTCACTTTTTTCTAGCAAAACCGATTTGCCTTTTTATGAATCTTTTAAAATACTATTACCTGTTTCAGTTGAATTGTTAAGATATGAACAATTGAAATATAAAACTTGTTAGAACATTCCACTTGAAAGTATTCCTGCTGCCACCCTCTATTTTAGAGAAGAATTGGTTGTGTATTATGTCTACATCAGACCACTTGATAGGGGCGTCCACAGGGGTGTGCCATCGCCCTGCCTCTCCACCTACCTACGCCCCTGCACACTGATGAGTTTGTTCCTACAACAATCCAAAAACATTTGTGTTAAGTTGTTTTGCCAATTGGGGGCATTCATCTTTGCGTGCTTAACACAGACATCAGCCACTCCAGACTGCATGTGTGTGTATTTAAAGACCATAAGTGGCAAGGTTTTTTTTTCAGTTTTTGACCCCTTATGTAATAAGTGAAGATCAGGATCCAATCCTGACTAACGTTTGCTTAAAAAAAATAAGATGCTGAATAGGATACAATACTTACAATACTTGCAAAACGTGTCTTGGATATTTAATTGCATCCATCTTCATTTCTAACACTCTTCAGCATCTTAAACTTATTGCATTGTGTCTCATGAGACATCATGGGGCCCTGAGCCCAATGTTGGAAATTATGGGGTATACAACTCTAAATAAGGTCCCATTCCATAACTTTTAATGATGAACAAAAACATATGCTCATCTCAGCTTGCAAATGCTTATTTTCGAGGTTGTCTGGTTATCCAGCTTCATTTCCTATCTCCTTGATAAATTTGTAGCAGAAATATATGCAACAAGATGAAAATAGCAGCAATACGTTCAATAGAGATTGTTTATACTTGCTGCCTAATAGGGAATCTGACTGTTTTTCCAGACACCTAATGCACTTCGTGAACAGACAAACTACATTATTTAAGAAAATAAATGAGCCATGGACAGCTGTTTCCAGTAGAGCATCAGATAATAGGAAATATCATGAATAAAATACCACACACAACAAGCTGTGTGATGGTGACAAGATCCACGCTGTTAAGACAAAAACAGGGATACTCATCAGTTTTTACACAATTTCTTACTACTATAAAATTGAAAAAGTGACAAAAGAAATGTTTTCTTGTAAACTGCTTTCCTTGAGATCTATATATTTTAGATTCAACTCCCGCTCTGACCACTGTGCAGGTAAACAACACCTGGAATCCCTGAATGGGAAATATGATCTCTGTAGGTGATCAGCATTGTAGTGCTTCAACGGTTTCTTTGAAATTGCTCGTGTATTGTAGAGACAGAAGATGACCTTGCTCTTTAGTAATGATTCAGCAGATTCCATTGTGGACCACACTACCAGATGGCGGTGTTTTAAATCCAGTCACAAGAGACTGATTATTTTTAATGTGATGTGCAGTGATGAAGCTGTATGAGACTGTTATCAGGTTCGGCTCCAGAAAATGCACCAGTTAGAATAACATAACCTCTTTTAAAACACTGCAATTATAAAAAAAAACTGAGTAAACTGTTGTTTACTCAGCTGCTGATGATTTCTTTCTCTCTCTCTCTCTCTCTTTTTTTTTTTTGAAGCTCTTCTTAAATCCCTGGTGGTGTTGCTTAATACCAGAGAGCTCCTGCAGATCTTTCATTTTCTTTCAGCAAAGCCTCTAAGAAACACAAACTGACCATCCAAGCTTGGAGTCTTGTCCCGTTAACAAAGAAGCCACGGTAATATTAGAACCCAAACAGATGTAACTGAGCATACGGCCAACAGGGAATAACTCCAAGGCAACAGAGGACAAACAACAGACCGAGGGCTCTTGGGGGACTTATTTGAGAAATTCCAAACAGGACACTACCTAAGTGACTTTCAACTCTCTGTTGCTCAAACTAGTACATGTGATATAGTACTCTGTCTGTTTAGTGTAAGGATAAATAACATAGCTATAGAGACATATCTATGATTAATAAGGTATGATGACCTTTATTTAGGATGATTAAGTAATTGAACAGGTACACGAAAATTCGACCACATCTCCCCTGTTTTAGCTTCCTTACACTGGCTGCCAGTACATCATAGGATTGATTTTAAAATTATTTTATTTGTTTTTAAAACTCTTAATGGCCTTGCTCCTTCTTATCT